AGTCCCACGAACAGTCATGCATTGAGTGACCAAATACGTTTCTATGTATATTTTTTTTGAAAGGGTTATTACCCCCAGAAAAGTAATCTGCTAATCGACTAAGTGCTGAATTGCAAAAACAAGTGCCAGTCAGGAGGTGGGCACGAATGTGTTTTTTGATGAAACAACAAACTTATCATCCCTATAAATTGTATCTCCCAAACAATTATCAAATGGTGAAAACAGGTTCCTACTTATTGTTTGGTAAACAGAGGTGTGCGGAGTTAGGAAACTTGCCTAACACTTTGCCCTGCCAGGGAATCGAACCCAGGTCCTCTCGCTAGCGAGGTGAATGTTTTAACTAATACTCTGCAGGACAGGACTCCTTTAATTATGTACGCACACAATCGATACCATAATCTATAATAATAATAATCCTTGCAATTGATATAGCCCTCTATAATGTCGTTGAGATGTCTCAAAATGATATACAGGATACACTTGAAAATAAACTGATTATATTTTGTGAGCGAAACGTGGCAGCCAATTGCGCACAGCAGTGCCCCACAACCAGTCCTGGATTGAAGTGACCAATGTTTTATTATAATTTTTTTTGAAGGAATTATTACGCCAGGAAAAGCAACCCGACAATCGACTAACAACCAGGTTCCTACTTACTGCTTGGTCAACAGAGGCATATGGAATAAGGAAACTTGCCCAATGTTTCGCCCTGCCAGGAATCGAACTCAGATCTCTCGCTTGCGAGACGAGTGCTCTAACCACTGAGGAGCTATCCAGAAGGTGCACAAAATAAATTGCGTCTCCTTCCTGTAACCAGCTCTTCTTGTTGACCATTACCACTTCTCAGCATGTTTGCTTATCGTTACCTCAAGTCCTGGATGAGAGCCAACTTTCTACAGCTGAATTTTAGAAGAGCGAGGCCCTACTGATTGGCTAACGCCATCGCCTCCGCAACTCAGCATCAGCATCCATGGATGCACACTCCACCTCACCAAGCCAGTCAGGAACCTGGGCATCTTCTTCGACCCTCCCCCATATCCGTGCCATGACCCGCTCTGCCTTCCCCACCTCCGCAACATTGCCCGACTCCGCCACTGCCTCAAACCTCAGGCCACCAAAACCCTCATACACCCATTCATCGTCTCAAAGTTTCACTACGGAAACTCCCTCCTTGTCGGCCTCTTCAAGTCCTCCCTCCCCAAGCTGCAGATCATCCAGAACTCTGCAGCTTGTGTCCTCTCCTGCACCAGGTGCCGTGACCCCATCAGCCCCACCCTCGCCCGGCTACACTGGCTCCCTATCCCGCAGAGGATAGAATTCAAAATCCTTGTCCTCACTTTCAAGGCCCTCCACAGCCTTGCCCCCTTCTACCTCTCTGACCTGCTGACTCCCTATCAACCTGACTGCTCCCTCCGTTCAGCAGGCTCTGGCCTGCTCCATAGCTCCTGCATGACCCGCCCTACCTTTGGCGGCTGGGCTTTCAGCCTCTCTGCCCCGACCCTTTGGAACTCCTATCCCACATTCCCTTTGCCTTGCTCATTCTGTTGCCTCCTTCAAGGCACGACTCAAGACGCTCCTTTTCGACTGTCCCTTCAGTTGCGCTTCTACCTCTCTGCCCTCCCTCATCCCAACCCTGCCCCCCCCGTCGCTCGGGTCCTGATCCCTGACTGTTCAGCGCCTTGGGGCGTCCTCATGTTGATGTTACTGGAAGTGATGAGTTCTTATTTGTTAATTAATTTGACTGGAACAATTCATCTAGTTTAGAATCATTCGTGGAAAGATTGCGTCAGTAAGCAGTTCTTTCGAAATTTTTCTTCTGTCAGCACTATTGTACCTTTCATTCAGGGCGTGTCAGCTTACTGAGTTAGCAAATTACAATTTGTTAGTTTTTTCTTTCTTGAGAGATTATTATCAGGTTTGTGGAATCTTGAATATCTTGTAGCCCTTTACAAAAACAATGTGAATCATTGTCTTTTGCCCCGTCGGAAATCGAACACAGGTCTCTCGCTTACAAGGCTAGTGCTCTCACCCGTTGAGCTACAGGTCTCAACAAGAGAGCATCCTACGTGAAGGGCACTATGTAATGCAACTTATTGTTCAAATATGACTGACCTTCTGTGCAATTTAGTTGTCCCTGTAACTGTGCTAATCTGCTGTGCAATGTGTCTACCTGCACCTCTCCTAATCTTACACTTTAGTTGTCTGTGTTTCTTTGTGTCTCTGAGTTGAGTGGATGATATGAAGTGTTAAAGTAGTGAGTATAGAAATTACGCTTACATTTCCTAGCTTCTCACAGCGTTTCTCACTGTTAAACCCTTGTATGGTTTAGTAATAGCATTCGCCAACAGGATTTAGATTGAGGAAAATGTGGAAGTCTATGTGGAACTTGATCAATGACTCTATCCTCGTAATCTGGAAAGTCAGTAAACGTCAAATAACAGTAAAAGTATTTAATTTTGAAGATAGCAACAATAATAATCCTTGCATTTGATATAGCGCCTCATCACATCCTCGAGACGTCTCAAAGCGCTTCATAACATAACATGTAGGAGCAGGAGTAGGCCATCCGGCCCTTTGAGCCTGCCCCGCCATTCAATCATGGCTGATTTTCTAATCTAACTCCAGCTAATAACCTAACCCTGCCTTATCTCTATATCCCTTAATCCCTTTTGCAATAAGAAATATGTCTATCTCAGTCTTGAATATGTTCAAGAACTGAGCTTCAACAGCCTTTTGGAGTAGCGAGTTCCATGCATTCACCACCCTTTGAGTGAAGAAGTTCTTCCTCAACTCAGTGCGAAAGGGCTGGCCTCTGATTTTAAGGTTTCAGTTTCTCCAACCAGGGGAAACAATCTCCCACAATCTACTCTATCATGCCTTTTGATGATCTTATAGGTTTCTATAAGATCCACTCTAATTCTTCTATATTCTAGAGAATATAGGCCCAAATTGGTCAGCCTATCCTCGTAACTCATCCCCTTCATCCCTGGTACTAACCTAGTAAATCTACGCTGCACCCCCTCCAAGGCAAGTACATCCTTCCTTAAATGAGGAGACCAAAACTGCACACAGTATTCCAGGTGTGGTCTCACCAGGGCCCTATACAGTTGCAGCAAGACTTCCCTACTCTTATACTCTAATCCTTTCATAATGAATGCTAACATACCGTTCGCCTTCCTAATTGCTGCTGCACCTGCAGACTAACTTTCTGTGATTGGTGTACAAGGACACCCAAGTCCCTCTGGACGCCAACACATTCCAATCTCTCCCCTCCTAAAAAATAACCCGCTCTACTGTTTTTGCTACCTAGGTGGATGACTCTGCACTTCCTACATTATACTTCATCTGCCACCTACCTGCCCAATCACCTAACCTATCTATGTCCTGCTGCATTTTTTTAATGTCATCCTCTGTGTTGACATTTCTTCCTAGTTTTGTGTCATCCGCGAATTCAGATGTATTAACTTCGATGTCTTCATCTAGATCGTTGATGTAGATGGTAAATAGCTGAGGCCCAAGGACTGATCCTTGTGGCACTCCACTAGTCACATCCCGCCAATCTGAAAAGGACCCGTTTATCCCTACTCTTTGTTTCCTACCCGTTAACCATTCCCCAATCCACGTTAATATGCTCCCCCCAATTCCATGGGCCCCTATCTTTTGGACTAACCTTTTATGCGGCAGCATATCGAATGCCTTCTGGAAGTCCAAATAGACCACATCCACTGATTCACCCTTATGTAGTTTACTCGAAATACCCTCAAAAAATTCTATGAAATTTGTCAAACATGACTTCCCTTTTTTTAAAGCCATGTTGACTTGGCCTAATTATAATGTGCTCCTCTTAATACAGTACTACCACATACTTAATCAATGATTCTAAAATGTTTCCTATCACTGATGTGAGTCTAACTGGCCCATAGTTCCCCATCTTTTCCTTTCCATCTTTTTTAAATAGTGGTGTGACATTTGTGATCTTCCAATCCATGGGGACTCTTCCAGAATCCAAGGAATTTTGGAAGATCAGACACAAGGCCTCCACTATCTCATAAGCTCCTCTTTTAAAACCCTGGGATGCAAGCCATCCAGACCGGGGGATTTGTTACTTTTTAGTCCTAACAGTTTCCCGAGCACCAATTCTCTACTAATGAAAATTTCCCTAAGTTGCTCCCCGTGGAGTGTCACCCCAGTTCCAAGTGGAGTGCTTGGAATATCTCCAAGGACAATTGCAGAGGGAAGTGGAAACTTTCCTAAAGTTCAAAAAGGAATAGTATTCCCATTTCACAGCAATGACATCCCTCATCATGGCGAGCACAGGAAAAACATGATCAAAAATAATCCTTGCATTTGATATAGTGCTTCTCATATCTTCTAGACGTCTCAAAGCGCTTCACAGAATAGACTGTAAAGTGAATTGCCTGGATATTTATGGGCAAAATACAGCAGCCAATTGCACACAGCAACTTCCCACAGTCATGGATTGAAGTGACCAATTTATTATTGTTTTCTTTTCTTGAGGGATTATTATCAGGCGTGTGGAGTAAGTAAACTGTCCCAAGGTTTCATTCTGCCCGGAATCGAACCCAGGTCTCTCGCTTGCAAAGTGAAATGAAAAAATGCGAAATGAAAAAATGAAAAAAAATGAAATGGAAAAAAAATGAAAAAAAATGAAATGAAAGCGAGTGCTCTAACCACTGAGCTACAGGACTCCTCATAAAGTTATAACGTTATTAAAAAGTCAAATTTCCAAACTGTAAAAAATATATATTTAAATATATAATTCTATCCCCTGGCAGTACAACAGACTGCGAGGGAAGAAAAACATTGAATAACTGAGTCAGCAAATGTACTGCTTTCAAAGAAACCTTGTTCATTCATTAACCAGAAATAATCCACACCTAAAAAAATGCAAATATGTTTTATCAGCAATCCAATACGCTATTCTGTGGAAGGGGTGTGACATAAATCCAAGTTGTTAGCATAAAACCTGATCTGACAGACGGGCTATGTCGAAAACAATTTTGTGCTGATAACAATTACACAGTTATTGATTTATTCTCTCTGTCAAAGGGGATATTTGCTTCCAGGTGAAAAGACACAGTTTATATTCAGTCTGTGCACTGGCTGCAACCAAACAAGACAGCAGTATGGGGATGGGAATCATCTTGTTTTTCCTGATGACAGTAAGTAATATTTTAGTATATTTTGAAGGAAAATACATTAGCCTCAAAATGCTCTTGTTAAGACTCTTTCAACATTGTTGCAAGATATCCACAGCAATATTAATAATAATCCTTGCATTTAATATAGCCACTGTAATGTCAAAATGTTGTCTCAGTGTGCTTGATAGTTAATCACGGTTGGTTATAAATTTGTTGTGAAAAACAGTAATCATCATAATAATCTTTGGTGTCAATAACATTGAGCACATTTGAAAGTGCTTCACAAAATTTCTGTGAAGAGTCATGACTGTGTGCAATGGAATTTCAATCTAACGAGGTGTTGCAGTGATTGAGAAGATACACATGAGGACAACGGAATGATTGAGGGTTGGAAGGACTAGATTATCAGATTATCAGATAGATAATCATGTTCACGCTGCAAAAGAGAAGGTTGAGAGGTTATATGATGGCTGTGTTAAGACTCTAAAGGGTCAAGATAATGTGGAACAAGAGGTTGGGGCTCACTCTTAAAGGGGGAGTAATTCAGAAGGAAATTAGTGGAAACATTATTTCAGTGAGCGAGTGGTAAGTCTATGGAACAAACTCCCTAGGGAGATGGTGGAAGCAGAAGGCCCTGATTCATTCAAATTAGATAGATTTCTTTCAGAAAATAATATTTGGGCATACAGTGTATGAGTAATTTGAAACATGATGTATGGGAAGTGTATTATGCTTTGGAAAACAAGCAACTTTGGACCTATGGATCTCAAAGATTCCACCACTGGCAGGTTTTCCTCACCTCATGCCTGAGTCTGTCGTAGACGAATCAATAGAGATTGATCGAGAAGGGCATATTCAACAACAACAATAACAACTTGCAAGTTAGCCTCTCCGAGCACTTAAATTCAGACAGGGTTCACCCTCTTTTGCTTGCCACTGAAGGCACCTGACACAAATCCAATCTAATGGTCCACTGCCAGATCTGGCCGGACGCGGTCAAAATCAGCTCAGTGATACATTCGGGTTCATTGTCCTCAGCCGGCACCTGCCAGAAAAGTTCACCCGTTGAGTTCGCTTGTGATGGTCAGCACAGTGAATCTCACCTGTGCGTAAGAGGATTATGAGCTCCTGGCAACAGGTACACCTTCAGCCCTCTGGGGGTTGGGATCTGTATTGCAGTACTTCCGATCTGAGGAGTGTGACCTGCCCTTACACAGAGGAAGAGGAGATACTGGAATGCAAAGATCACTTGATCAGTTGGTCACTAGGCTTTACTGGAGTGGGGAGGGGTGGGGGGAGGATGGGGGCTTGTCTTCATGGACCCCCCTCGTTGCCTAGTGGAACACATATCAGTCTAATTCCTGGGTGAGTTTGCTCACCAATACAAAAACTTTTTATTTTTTTGCTTAATGAAACGGTTTGTTCCAATTAACCTTTTCTGTATGCCATTTGCTGTAATTTAGAGATTAACTTTGGGCGAGGGGAGATGATTCCCTGATTTTACACACTTCATGCACCTTGTATTGTGGTGGAAACACAGTTTTATTTGTCGGAACCAGGCTTGAGAAGTTGGAGAGTAGAAAAATATATTCCAGTTTTCCTTGTCAGCATCTGACATCAATGGCGATATAAGTTAGCTCAGTTGGTCTCTAAAATCCTTGTTAGCCTTGTAATGGAGCACAGTAAAACACATACACAAGTCTTCAAATAAAACTATGCAATTGACCATTTTATTAGTAATGTTTCAGATTGCAATTCTGGAATTACACTTTAAACATATCAAATTAGTGACAGAAAGTTTAGAAAATTTAGAAAGGTTTGAATTCAAGCAATTGTTTCAAAGTAAATAACCAAGTTGCACATATATTTTTTGAAGCTAGTTGCTAGTTGCATAATTATTTCCAAACTAGTAAACTAAATTATCGATAGCGCTGCCTTTTCAGGAAAGTGTTATAAGTGATGAATAAATTGCAATTTTATTGCCATTTAATTATTGGCAATGATATGCATGGTTTTCAAGACAATATCCACTTGGAGATGACGACAAAGGTATAATTTTGCATGATACAACGTTGTAATGATTGTACAGAAAGAATTAATAGGTGCAATATTAACTTAAAAGATTTCAGTCAAGCTGTTTGAAAGAATATAGAATACAGCAGCTGTGAAAATGTTTATTTTGGCTTGGTTCCCATCGGCAGCTTACAGCAGTACGGCAGAAATGGAGTTATTTAAACGCGATTGAAAAAGTAAACCCAGAATGATACTTTAAGATGCACCAAGACAGTAGAATAGGACTTTCAAAAATTCCAACTTTCACCATTCTACTTATAATCCTAAATAAAACTTGCCTTTGATATTAAATGTCAGGAAAGTGCTGTCTCAAAACTTTACAGCAAAGTGCAGTGACTGCATTTTGTAGGCAAAGGCCCATTTGCCCACAGAAATGTCCCACAAACATGAGAGGAATAACCAATTTTATCTGCGGTATTGTTGGCCAGCACATTTTAAGATTAGCACCAATTTATGCTAATACACACATGGTGCCTCAAATACAACCTTACATTCATGCGTATTGTTGCTGCTCAGTGATAATAAATTGATCATTCCTTTGAGCTCTGAGATCAGAAAGGTTTAACAACAGTGTATTCTGTCTAGATTCTACACTGGGGTTTCGAGATAATCCCAGTAACTATTTATTTTCAATTTAATTGTAGCATAGAATTACTATTGTTTGCTTGACTTTCTAATTCAAGGATTATTATTTCCTCCCTCCAAGGGTACTACGGTGATATGTTCCATCCACAATGAAAAGGACATTCAGCCTGTTCAGGTATGTATGACTTTCTGCTGACTCACCTTAGAAACATTACCTTTCCTATTACTATATTATTTGTTTATTCATTCTCATAACATGTTCAATACCTAACTAGCACCCCAGCAATGTGCAAGGCTGCTATATCCTCGAGAGGATACAGAGGAGGGCAACCAGAATGATTGAGGGAATGGAGGGTCTAGACTATGAGGAGAGACTAAGTAAATTGGGCATGTTCACCCTGGAAAAGAAAAGATTGAGAGGAGATTCTATCTTTAAGATTCTAAAGGGGATAGACAGTATAGATCATGACAGACTGTTTCAACTTGTCCAGAATAGTAAAAGGAATGGACACGGCCTGCGACTGAAGGGCAGTAAATTCAGAACAAATCTACAGAAACACTATTTTAGTGAGCGAATAGCGAACCTGTGGAACAGGCTCGTTCGGGAGATGGTTGAAGCAGGAAATGCTGATTCCTTCAAACACAGATTAGATAGCCTTCTTTTAGGAAATAACATTATGGGATATAGTACATAGGTAATTCGGGACATATGTGCATGCGACTGCCAGGAAAGTGGAAGGAAACCTAGATGGACCTTGGACTTTTTTCATCCAGCATTTCTTGTGTTCTTATGCTAATGTAGATGTTCTATCAAAGTGGTATGACACAATCTTGTGTGCGATTTCCTCATGTAACAAACTTTGATTTAATATAATGTTTCTCCCAAATAAGGGAAGTGTTCTCTTTACTCTATACCATTGGTGTAAGGCAAGGTGGTCCAACTGAGGCCTATGGACCACATCCGACCTGAAGACCGATTTCAGTCAGCCCACCCCACCCTCCTACCCTTTATTTCATCTGGCCCACTTGTTAGATGTTTTATTATGTTTCTGGAAGGGAAACACAAAAATATTACTTATGCAGTCCACGGAAATTTCTCAAATAGGGCATCCAACCCTCAGCAGTCAAAAGGTTGGACCACCCTGGTGTTAGGGTGTTATTCACAAACCAAGTGTTTATTTTAGCTCAAGTCTAATCAACCAGAAGTGACTCCCACTTTGCTTCCAGTTGGACATGTACAAAACCTTAACTGTTTCCCAGGCATCAGAGAAATTATGCCAAGTTTGCTTAAATCATTGATTAGGCTGTGACTGGAGTATTGCATCCAGTTCTGGGCACCTCACATCTGGGAGGATTTGAATATGGATAAGGTTAAATAACAAATAGCTTTGTTTTAGGACCCGATACCACAAAATGCTGAAGAGCCAAAGCCTATTCGCTTAGTCCGTAAGAAGAGAATGTGGGTTCTGGTGCCTTTCTCTATTGTGGAAGAAGAGGAATGTGATTATCCTAAATTTGCGGTAAAGGTAAGTCCATTTAAAACTTTCGAAAGACGCCATTTAGGGATTTAGGTGGGAAAGTTCCAAAATTCCAACTTTCCAATCATTCTACTTATAATAATAAATAAAAGTTGCCTCTGATATTAAATGTGTGGAAGGTGCTGTCTCATAGCCTGTCTCAAAGTGTAGTGACTGCATTTTGTAGGCGAACGAGGCAGCCAATTTGCCACACAAACATGAGAGGAATGATCAATTTTCTCTGTGGTATTGTTGGCCAGGACATTTTAAGATCAGCATGAGTAACTACACATCCTGCTCCAAATACAATTCTGTCACAAAGTATTCTGTGCAGATTCTCCATTGGAGTTTGGCTTGCAGGGTTTTGGGCTTTGTCTTGCAGGGTTAATGGGAACAGAGTGGAGTCCTGTAGCTCAGTGGTTAGAGCACTCGCTTTGCAAGCGAGAGACCTGAGTTCAATTCCAGGCAGAGGGTGAAACCTTGGGCAAGTTTCCTTACTTCACACAGAGCCTAATAATAATCCCTCCAAAACCAAAAACAATAAAAATTGGTCATTTTCAATCTACGACTGTTTGTGGGACATTGCTGTGCACAATTGGCTGCCGCGTTCGCCCACAAATATACAGTCAATTCACTTTACAGTGTGTTCTGTGAAGCGCTTTGGGACGTCCTCCTGACGTGAAAAGCGCTATATCAAATGCAAGGATTATTATTATTAATATAACAACAAATGTACATTACCAAACCTGCTCGGAGTGACTGGTTCTACCCCTTAAATCCTGCCAATGAGACAGGCTGGTCCAAGGTAACTATTGAGAAAACTTTTCCTTTTGGCAGATCAACCATCAGGACACAAAAGACCAAATCATCAAGTTTAAAATAAGTGGCCCTGGAGTGGACATGCCACCAGAAATGGGCTTGTTTAAACTTGAAAAAGACAACGACTTGGTCATCACTCGCAAAGTTGATCGAGAGAAAGTAAAGGAATTTAAGGTAAGCATCTGGCATCTTGTCTGGCATCTATGTGTCATTATTAAATGTACATTACCAAACCGTTGTTCTACTTAATAATATAGCTTGATAATTTTGTTGTCTTACATTCATAATAAAGGCGCAGAGTCCAAGCAAAATATATCTTTTTTCTAATTTCCTCACGATGTGACTTCACTTCTGAATTGGGACTGCTATTGCACCTTATTTCAGAAGCTAGCCACAGAAGTACGATTTTGTTTTTATTTTGCCTTAGTTGAAAGATGTAATCTTTCCTCTATGCTCATTGAAAGCAACTGAGATCACCAGGAACCAGCAAGTAAATTATGTACTCCACAGTGATATTTAAAATAAAATATGTACAATGTTGCCTTCATTAACAAAGTCCTGCAAACAGCCATGAAAGTGAATAAACAATTTTATCTGGGGGATTGTTGGCCACGATATTGGGAAAAACTCCCTTTTTTTTGAATAGCACCAATGGGATCATTAACATCTACCTGTCGAAGCAGATGAGACTTCAGTTTAATTTATTGCAAAAGACGGAACCTTTGCAGCCCGCACCCCCCGAGCACTGTGCTAGAGCATCAGTCTAGATTGTGAGAGGGGCTTGAACCCCAAAAATGTTTATCTTAGAGGCGAGAGTACTACTAAATGAGCCAAGTAATAAATGGATCATCAGGATTTCTGGTAGGACTTGGAGAACACATTGATTCCAGTATAAACAAAATGCAAAATACTGACATTGATTCCAGTCCTTGTTTCTCTCAATTTATATCCAGGTGAAAGTTGACGCCATGAATAATGGAAACATCGTCAGTAAAAGTATGACCTTTCATGTTAAAGTAAAAGACATTAATGATAATAAACCGACCTTCAATCAATCATTCTATACAGTCAATGTTCCTGAAAACACTCTTGTTGGTGAGAATTTATTCTGAGACCTGTTTTTATCATAAAAATAATAATCATTGCATTTGATATAGCACTTTATCATATATTCAAGACTTCTCAAAACGCTTCACAGAATATACTGTAAAGTGAATTGACTATATTTTGTGGACAAAACGCCCACAAAATATACAGTCAATTCTATATAAAAATTTCAAATACATTTTAAATCTATAACTAATTAAAGATCACAAGTTCAGTCTGGATAAAGAAAGCCCTTTGGTCCATCTGATCTCATCCCTGAAAAATACCCACCCTACCATCCCTTCAACACTGCATCAAGCTGCTTGTTAAATGAGCCTCCTGGCAATCTGTTCGAGTTCTTGATTACTCTCTGAATAAAGAAAAATAATGCAATTTCCCTTTAAAAATTCTAAGCTTATGTTCTTTTGTTCCACTGACTTGATACAGCCTAAAGTATGTATTAGGGTTTACTTTGGCTAGAACCTGAATACAAGAACTGAATACAAGAAGATTTGTATGAACGTACATTAACATGGGGGTCAAAATAGCCACGCAACTAAACATATCTGTTCTTTATTTAAGAACCTGATTAAATTTATTTGGAAATACAGCACAGCCTCATTATAATACACTCCTTTATGAAACCCAGTTTCAATTATAAAGCAGTTAGAATGTGCATCCTATTCACTACACATGCCTATAGCCAGCCGGCATTTTTCCTGCTCACTGACCACTCGTGCACTAAAAATGGCTGAGTTCTGGGTAATCAGGTCTTTCCCGACGTCCATTCCTGCTTTGTGCACTTGCGGCTTGAAGGAAGTGATCCCAGTAGTGACCCAATTACTTGCAGTTTCTCTGCATTTACTTGTAAAAACAGCTATTGTGCCTTGATGGATCCCAAGCACCACATTATAACGGGGTTCCACTACACTGTAATTTTGAAGCACTTTCTGTAGGAAATTCTACAGCTGCATTTCTCCCAATCCGTTTGTTGCACATTAAGAGCACATGTCAACGTACCCTGGTCCTAAGCCTCAATACCTGTGTTAAGCCTTGGTAAAGATGTTCCAACACAATTAATAATATTAGTAATAATAATAATAATAATAATAGCATGTTACAAGTGACTAAGGGAAAATAAAACAGGAAGTTCCAATTAATTGATGCGAATTGTAATTAGCAACTTTAACACACGTTACACATTAAATAATGGTCATTAACACCATAAATGCATTGAATGTTCTGTGTTTTTATCAGGTAAAAATTTTTTCAAAGTTAACGTCACGGACGCAGATGAGGAAAACAACCCCAATTCGCAAGTTTCATATCGGTTGGATCCTCATGCACAATCATCTGAATATTTTAGCCTTGATGAGTTCGGATCAATGAGTCTTAAACGCTGCCTGGATTATGAGGTATAACATATGTGTGAAGAGTTTGGTATGGTGCCTTTCATGTCGAGAGGATGCCTCAAAGCACTTCAAGGATATACTGTAAAGAGTAGTGACTGCATTTTGTTGGTGAATGCAGCAGCCAATTGGCCTTCAACAATGTCCCCAAAATAGCCCTAAAGTTAATGACCAATTTTATTTGGCAGGGACACTGGAAGAAACCCCTACTCTTTTCGAATAGTGCTTTAGCATCTTTGACATCACAAGTGCCATATCAAATACAAGCATTCTTATTAGAGTAGCTGTACAGTGAACACTACATGTAATGCATCTCTACTGTTAAATAACATTAGAATTGGTTCAATTGTATTATATATATATACACAACAACAACTTGCACTGATATAGCGCCCTCCACACAGGATAGCGTCTCATAGCGTCACAGAACAGTGGTGGAGCCACACACACACATATAATGAAAGTAATAAAAGTTGTAATTTAATCTCATGTGTTAATCTCAGGTGCATGTATGTTGAGTTGTACAGAAATTAATAAACTGCCTTAAGCAGTAAAATATTTGATGGTTACAAGCCAGTATTTATTCAAAGTCTTCTCTCTCCCCATTATTTTGTTCTTGATATTTTCAATCTTTCTTGATTGAATTAAACATTTGAAACACATTTTTTGTTCATTGTTCTAAATTGGTGTATTTTATGTTTTAGAAGGTTAAATCTTACACTATTATTGTTCATGCAAATGACCATGGAAGTCCAAAGTTGTCCTCCTCCGCAACTGTGAACATTATTGTTAAAGCTGCTAATAAGCATCTCCCTGTTTTTACGGAAACCAGTGTAAGTATTTATTTCCATGCACGTTGTTGTAATCCTGTCCTGCTATAATATGCTTTATTATTATTTCATTAAAGCCCTATTTCTTCCAACGTTTACAGACAAATTGCAGTATAAATCCTGTTTGCAGTTCATAATCTGAAAGTGAATCACACTACAGAACGCCGACTGAAATGATCTGGAAAAAGTGTTTTTGACAGGAAACTGTGGAGTTCTGTCATGTCGTAGTCCCTTTAAAAATTCTCAGACACCCAATCGATAACCCAGAGGTCTTTCATGCTGATGCTTTTATAATGCTATTCGTGGATTGGGTTAAAACACACACAATCAGCTGATCTCGGAGTTCCACGCATGTGATGAACTAAGCATGAGCAAAACTCTGAAATCAGTGTTAATTTGTCATCACTCTGGATGGGCAGCTGCATGGAACAGGAAGTATGTGTCAGGCATGCCCTCTCTTTATAAATAGAATGCAAAAAAAAATTACTGAGGTTGGGTCCTTTTAGAGAAGTTAGCACATGTGCAGTGCTCTCCTCACCTCAGGGCATTATTGTCCAGGAGCACTTAGAACTAATGTCACTAAACGTTTGCAAGACAAGTTGCTGCATGAAACAGAAATGACGTGCGTGTCCTGAAACATTTATGTACATTGTGAAAGCAGTGTGGGAGAAACAGGAGCAGGAGTTAGCCATTTGTTCCCCTTGAGGCAATGCCCATTTGCTGCCTTTTCTCCATATCCCTGTTACCATTGCCAAGTGTCTATCTTTCTTTATAACCTCCCAGTTAGTTCTGCATCTACGGCCTTCCAAGTGCCGAGCATCAAACATTCTCAAAACCACTTATGCGAAGAAATGTCTTCTGATTTCACTTTTAATAGGTTTGATTCTAATTTTAAGACTAATACACAATCAATTCACTGTCCAGTATATTCTGTGAAGCGCTTTGAGACGTCTCAAAGATGTGATAAGGCGCTATATCAAATGCAACGATTATTATTATTATTTCATGACTGTTTGTGCGCAATTGCTTCAAATTTAACCTGTGCAAAACATGAAAGGACCCCTTTAGGATATCCGTGCAAAGCTGTGCATACCTGTCACCCCCATCCTCTCTGGGCTCCATTGGCTCCCAGGGGATTAACTTTACAATTCTCACTCTCACCTACAAATCCCTTCACATTTGCGCCTCCCGACTGCTTTGATCTACTTCAGCTTCACTCTCCTGCTCATCCCCTCCAGATGGCAAACTTTAGTATTCCTCGACCCCTCTGCGTTTACAAAAGTTGCATCTCTAACACCTGCTTATCACAATCTTTAGTTCACAGCTAAAGTCTCTGAAAATGATACAAATGTGGTTATACGACGATTAAGTGTTACTGACGCTGACCTTCCCCACACACCGGCCTGGCGAGCAAAGTATAGTATCGTAGAAGGCAACGAAGGAGGATACTACAAGATTGAAACTGATGCAAAATCAAATGATGGAATTCTAACGCTTATAAAGGTAAGCATTCAAGTCGTTGGGAGGATTTAATCAGTTACCATAGAGAATGATAGCCAAAGACTGCTGACCACTTTACACTCGGAGAACAACTCCGGAATTCAGCAATTGTTGAAAGGAACTTATAGAAAATTGGTTTCATAATTGAGGCTGAATTTAAGAATTCGTCCAATTCTTTTCATGGCTCACAATCCCCGAATAGAATTGATCGTTCGCTTTGTGGCTGTTTGCGGGGCATTGCTGTGAGCGGAGCGCTGTTTAAGTGCTCCGAGTTGCAGCTCTGCGTGAAGGGCACTCTGTTCATGCAAGTCGCTATTGGTGTTAGCAAATTAGGTGTTGCGTTTACCTACAAATACACAGACTGTTCACTCTGCAGTATTTCCTGTGCAGCACTGTGAGATATTTTGCCGATGCAATCAGGCGCTGCGAGGATTATTCATTTCAATTCTGGGTGGATACTTTAAAATGTTACATAAACAGAATAAATCTAGACACAGGTGGGGATGTCAGAATTTGGATATCCAAAACTGATCTGCCTGTCCAGTAGCTATTGTGGGTTGGGAGTGATAGACGGAAATTCAATTGGATGACTGATGGAGAGTTCACTGAAAATGCACTCAGCTCGATATTCATATTCCCAAATTTCAAATAAAAAAAACAAGCAGATAGCAATATCATGTGAAGCAGGAGACTGGTAAACAAGTGTGGTCATCAGTTAAAAAGTGAAGAGTATTCCCACTGTTAGCGTTAACATCTACCCTCCTGGGTACCTTGTGGAAAAAAGCGTTTACTATTGAGCTGGCTGAGCCGATAGCATTCAGTGCAGATTTGTTCTTATCTATTTACAGCATTTGGATTTTGAAGCTGGTCACCAAAATCAGCTGAAGATTACTGTTGAGAATGAAGAACCGTTTCGTACTTGTCTACCTACTTCGAGGAGAGGAGATGAGTTTGCACGTGTAGCAGTCATTGTGAACGATATGAATGATGCCCCTGTAGTCAATCCTCCCGAAATACGTATAGTCAAAATGGAAGGTCTCAGCCCGGGAAATGAATTGGTTACATTTACTGCTACCGATCCCGATACATTATTTAAAAACAAAATCAGGTAAGAAAAACGAATGAATATGAATCAAACAATTTCGAACCCATATATTAGAAGGGTGACTTTTGTTTTAGTATTTTATTGCATTTAGCCTTCCTACATCTTTTTCCTTTGTAAATGATCAGTGCAAGCACTTCATTTCCTCTCTCCCAACAAAAGGTTGTAAGAAAACAGGATGCAAATTGCCGAACGTTTCTTTAAACAAAACTAAACAAAATTGATATCTGTTAGATTAAAAGCAAAAGGCATATACTTTGCAGGCATGACATAGAAATAGTCAACTCCTCCCTAGGAAATTTTACAAGTCCAAAAATGATCATGTTTCTAAAAAATAATAGTAGATTGAATATTATTGCCTGTATCTCTCTCGTAGAAGTTCTCAGAAGTTTGTTTGTTTGTCAGAATTTCTATTTACATGTCGCCCACAATAATACTTTCAATGTTGTGGAAAGTGTTTCTGCTTACATATAACTGATCCAGAGTTTGTCCGACATTTAAGTTAATTGGCAAAAGAACCATAGGGGAGATGAGGAGAATTTTTTTTTACCTGGAGAGTTGTTACTGGAATGCACTGCCTGAAAGCATGGTTTCTATAGTAGCTTTCAAAAGGGAATTGGATAGGTACTTGAAAAAGAAAAAATTGCAGGGCTAATGGGGTAAGAGCGAAGGAGTGGGATTAGTTGGATAGCTCTTTCAAAGAGTCGCCACAGGCACGATGGGCTGAATGGCTTCCTTCTGTGCTGTAAGATTCTATGATTTAATATTCATCAAAATTACACAATCAGCAAGATGAATATCTACCCGTAAACTGTAACTTGTTGATGATTACTCGGTGAGGAACAACTTACTATCTGTAAAATGCGTGATGTAAGGGAAGTGATTTAGTAAATGACTTTTGTTCAAAAGATTCGTCATTGCGTATGATCCTGATGGTTGGGTTACCGTGGATGAAGAGACGGGTATAGTGACAAATGTACAAAAACTGGACCGAGAATCGCCTTATGTGAAGGACGACATTTATAAAGTTATTGTGCATGCAGTTGACGATGGTAAGTCCTTTTATCTTTAGTATCTATTAAATGAAATAAAATGTTTGTGTTTGTTAATTTGTTGTTGTTGATTGTGGTAAGGATGTGAGAAAGACAACTGAATCACTTCTAGCACCAGGAGTCAAGTGCAAGCGGTTGAGCCAGATAGAGAGGCAAACCTGTTTTGCTCAGCACAACAAGAATTAATCTTAAAAGACTGGGTTACACTACACGCCTTAAATAATTGATTAATTTTCCTTTTCTTCTTCGAAGTTTGCAAATGATTGTAGGAATATATTTCTGCAGCACCCCCCTCCAACACCCCCTCACCCCAAAAATTCCTTCAGAAAACCAACTTCAAAATTCAGACTGAATTCAACAATTTGCCCAACTCTGGACGCTCTAAAATGCAAATTCAAGAGAGTAAATCGAGAGCCAGTTGGAATTTCTCCCCTTTGATGTCTTAACTGTGTCATCTATTAGAGCCAATAACCGTCAAGCTTCCATTTAATGCAGTGGCTAATCCCTTTTTCTCTCTCCAGCTGCACCACCACTCACAGGGACCGGCATTTTAAATATTTTGCTGAGAGATGTTAATGACCACAAACCATATTTGATATCTTCGTACAAAGAGATGTGTGATGAAGGAGATATGAGGCAGGTCATACTGACAGCAGCAGACAATGACATGCCTCCATACAGTAGCCCATTTACCTTTGAGCTTTTGGACGATGAACACAACGCGAAGGAGAAATGGAAATTAGGCAAAACGACTGGTGAGTTGTAACTGATTGTCTTTTTCAGGTTTATTTGATACCTGAGCCTCAGATGAGTTTTGAATAGTTAATCAATCGGATTAATGGTCAGTCAACCCCTCCCTCCCTTTGCCTGCCCTAAGACCTATCTTTTCAACCACGCTTTTGGCCACATTTTCCCCATCTTGGACGTCCAGTCATCTGTGCAAAGCGCTTTGAGACACCTTGCCATTGTGAAAGGCGCGATATAAATGTAAACCGTTGTTGTTGAGATGATTTACTAGAAATATATCATATGTAATGCATCTGTACTTAGTTATGTACAAGCAGCCTAATATTTATCAAATGCATTTTGTTGTCACGTCAGATAACACTGTTGAATTTATGAGGATGTCAGAAGTTCCTATTGGAAACTACACCATATTTTTAAATGTTCGTGATCAACAAGGCTTGAGTAAACGGAACTTTCTCAATCTACGGGTCTGTCACTGTGATGATAAAAACGCCTGTCCTGATGCAATGCAACCAACAGCTAGGTTGGCTAGTCATGCGATAATTGTTCTCTTTGTTGGCTTCTTGCTTTTATTAAGTAAGTATACACAGTCATGGGCACAGACATCACTGGGACTCTGTGGGAAATATAGTAGGAAAATAATAACATTCGGTTTTCAAACTATTTAAACACAAATTCAATATTATGTTTAAAGTTATTTTGATCGCAAATTGTCTGCTGGACAAATAGCCCAGCACTATGGTGACATGTGCATACTTCCATTAACCAGATAGATTCCCATTTGGATTCTTTAATAGGAAAACCCATTGGTAATCACTCTATATTAGACCCCATTGATGTTTCTTTAAATTATATCCTTTTTAATCAAAAAAATGCAGTAAATGTTTTTTTGAATATTCACAATTTTAACTTCTCTTGATTTCTTGCATTATTTTCTGTTTCTAATACAGAGAAGAAAGCATTAGTTTTACAATAACCATCCAGGCTTTCTACAGCCTTTAACATGCTTATTTTAGAAGTCAAAAAGTTTGTTTTAATGCAACTTGTGGGAGAAGATATCAAGAATGGTTCTAATTCACTTTGCCTTTTTTTGTAGTTAGTTTGCTCTGTTTGCTCATCTTCATGAATAAAGAGCATTTTAAGCCACAAAAGAGCTACCAAGAACCCAAGGGCTCACTAAAAGAGTATAATGAAGAAGGAGGTATTCCTGTGGATAACGTAAGTGACTTCACAGCACTTGAAACAATCTGATTTACTTGTAACAGACACTAATATTTGTTAAACAATGTAATAAATAGGGAGGAATGCCACATGGATTTAGCTTTAGCCAATGTATACAGTATACATTCATATAGCACACTTTTCATACCAGGAAGATATCTCAAAGCAGTTCACATTGCTGGATGTGCACCAAAAATCCATGTTTTAAATCATGCCTTGAAAGTGGGGAGGGAAGGATTGAGTTGGAGGGACTCCAGGATGAAGTTCCACAGGTTGGCTGAAAGTCCACCCGCTGGTGGTGAGGTGGGACAGAGCAGGGGACGTAAGGCAGGCCATTGTTTGCTGAGCGTAGAGAGCAGTCCGGGTGGTGGTGTTGATGGAGGCCACCGGGATAGGGTGGTGTAGGCGGAGGGGAGGGAAGACTGTAGAGGGATTTGAATGTGAGAATGAGGAACTTACTAAATTCAATTGACTGAGGTTGGGGAGCCAGTGGAGTCAAAGGAGAATGGGGGGATTGGAATGAGGGATAGTGTGCAGTTTGGGGAGGTCATGAGCAGAGCAGCAGTGTAGAGTTTTAGATCGCCCAGAATTTGGCAAATTGTTGAATTCAGTCTTAACTTTGAAGTTAGCTCTTTGTAATTCTTAAAAGACTTACAAAACACTGTATTCAAAATCAAAGCCTTATTGAAGAATCAACAAATTCTGTATGCTTCAAAATGCTCTAAATCTCTACCCAGGTATTTTTTTCCCCCAATAATTCCCCAAAACATATTTTTGTGAAAGGGGAACCAATAAATTTACTGTTTCAGTGAAATTTGGTGAAGTTTATTATGTTTTCAAGGCAGCAACCCATTAAGTCAATATAAGCTGATGGCAGAATCTTAAAGGGGGTGAAGGAACAGAGAGACCTGGGGGTTCATATAAGTAAATCTTTGAAGTGGCAGGTAGATAATAATAATAATCCTTGCATTTGCTATAGCGCTTTTCACGTCTTCTAGACGTTCTCAAAGCGCTTCACAGAATATACTGTGAGGGAGAATAATTATAGTAGTGTCATAACTAACTAGCCACACAGAACAGATTGATTATTTAAAGAGTTAGCTGGGGTGGAGTGCAAAGTAAACTATCTTTTATTAAGTCCAGGCACTCCCCAGCTTCTTCCTTAAAAAAAGTTGCATATTATTCAGAAATCTGCAGTCTTCTCTCACAGCAGGTTCACCAAACCTCTTGTCCCCATCCTCACTCATTCCACTGGCTCCCCATGCCCCAGCGAATCAAATTCAAAATCGCCATCCTCGCATTGAAGTGTACTGTACCCTTTGTGACCTATAATAAAATAAAAATAATCCTTGCATTTGATATAGCGCTTCTCACGTCTTCTCGACGTCAAAAGCGCTTCACAGAACACACTGTAAAGTGAATTGACTGTATATTTGTGGGCAAAATGCAGCAGCCAATTGCGCACAGCAGTGTCCCACAAACAGTCGTGGATTTATTATTGTTTTTCTTTTCTCTTGAGGAATTATTACCAGGCATGTGGAGAGAGGAAATTTACCCAGGGTTTTGCCCTGCCAAGAATCAAGCCAAGGTAACAGATAAAGCTGTTAAAAAAACATACAGGATACGAGGCTTTATAAATAGGGACATAGAATACAAAAGTAAGGAAGTTATGATGAACCTTTATAAAATACTGGTTAGGCCTCAGCTAGAGACTGGGTTCAGTTCTGGGCCCCACACTTTAGGAAGGATGTCAAGGCATTGGAGAGGGTGCAAAGGAGATTTACCAGAATGGTACCAAGAATGAGGGACTTCATTTACCAGGAGAGGCTGGAGAAGCTGGGATTATTCTCCTTGAAGCAGAGAAGGTTAAAAGGGGACTTAATAGAAGTTTTCAAAATTTCGATAGGGTAAACAAGGAGAAATTATTTCTACTGGTGGGTGGGTTGGTAACTGAGGACACCGATGTAAAATAGTTGTTGAAAGAAACAGAGGGGAGGTGAGGAGAATTTTTCACCCAGCGAGTTGTTTGGATCTGGAATGCATTGCCTGAAAGCGTGGTGGAAGCCAATTCAATAATATAATAATAATAATCCTTGCATTTGATATAGCGCTTTTCACATGAGGAGGACATCTCAAAGTGCTTCGCAGAATATGCTGTAAAGTGAATTGACTGTATATTTGTGGGCAAAATGCAGCAGCCAATTGCGCACAGCAGTGTCCCACAAACAGTTGTGGATTAAAGTGACCAATTTTATTATTGTTTTTCTTTTCTCTTGAGGAATTATTACCAGGCGTGTGGAGAGAGGAAATTTACCCAGGGTTTTGCCCTGCCAAGAATCAAACCAAGGTAACAGATAATGCTGTTAAAAAAACATACAGGATACTAGGCTTTATAAATAGGGACATAGAATACAAAAGTCAGGAAGTTATGATGAACCTTTATAAAATACTGGTTAGGCCTCAGCTAGAGACTGGGTTCAGTTCTGGGCCCCACACTTTAGGAAGGATGTCAAGGCATTGGAGAGGGTGCAAAGGAGATTTACCAGAATGGTACCAAGAATGAGGGACTTCATTTACCAGGAGAGGCTGGAGAAGCTGGGATTATTCTCCTTGAAGCAGAGAAGGTTAAAAGGGGACTTAATAGAAGTTTTCAAAATTTCGATAGGGTAAACAAGGAGAAACTATTTCTACTGGTGGGTGGGTTGGTAACTGAGGACACCGATGTAAAATAGTTGTTGAAAGAAACAGAGGGGAGGTGAGGAGAATTTTTCACCCAGCGAGTTGTTTGGATCTGGAATGCATTGCCTGAAAGCGTAGTGGAAGCCAATTCGATAACAACTTTTAAGAGAGAAGTAGATAATTATTTTGGGAGAACAAATTTGCAGGGCTATGGGGAGAGAGCAGGAAAGTGGGATTGAATTGGATAGCTCTTTAAAAAGAGCCGGCACAGACATGATGGTCCGAATGGCCTCCTTCTGTGCTGTATAATTCTATGATTCTGGATCAAATCAGACCCTTCATTCTTAGGACAATTTGTTTTCACTATCAATAAACCATTTCCACTAACCATTCTAATGCCAGGGATTTTAATGCGAAGTACATTCCTGTAAAGTTCTTTGAGACATCTTTCCGACATGAAAGGCACTATACCAACTACAATTTGGATTACCATTATCATAAGTTGCAATTCCACTCCTAGAACTAACAGTCTGTTTCTAAATACATCTAAGTGTTCTATAAAATTAGGTGAATATCATTCATATTATAGCATTTGATCAAGGAAATTATTTAGTTCTTAAATATGTTAAACTCTCTCTTCCAGTTTGATTCCGAATACCATAACAGGAAACAATTGGAAACATTCTTCCAGCAGGTAAGTGATTCGATAAAGCAGAAAAAAAACTGTATTGTCAAAGTATTCATATAATGATATGTTCTACTCACTGTGTTTATTGTGCGAACTATATGGAGTAATTTATTGAATTTGTAGGTATTTATTGATCAATTTATCAATCAATTTATTAATCGACTTATCAATGAATTTATCGATCAGTTTATTAATCTATAGGTCAATTTTTTGGTTTCTGAAGAGATGTTATGTTCTAGGACGTGAAAGATTTTTTAAGAGTCCTATTTAACTGATCAACCGCTTATAATAATCTCTCCACGAGAGGACACTTCCTGTTTACTTAATTCCAGAGAGCATTAGGCAGAGGGTGGCGGGATCCAAGGTTTATGTAGGGGAACTCAAAAGCTCCAATTCTGGGCAATGGAGGAATTAGTGATTTAACTGGAAAGGTTGGGTTCAGGGGAGGTTTTATAATTGGAGAGACACTAAAATGGTATCTCAAAGTTTCTCCAATTTACACACAAGAATTGAAGTCCACACGTCATCAAAACATGCACCAGAACGATCATTAGTGCTATATATGACAGACCATCCATTATTTACCGAGAACAAATAAGTGTTTCAACAAAAGATACCAGGAAACTTTTCCTTCTCCCATATTTCTGTGAATTGAGTGATGAATCCCATACAAATTCACCATAGATCCTGTAGCTCAGTGGTTAGAGCACTCGCTTTGCAAGTGAGAGACCTGAGTTCAATTCCAGGCAGAGGGCGAAACCTTGGGCAAGTTTCCTTACTCCACACAGAGCCTAATAATAATCCCTCCAAAACAAAAACAATAATAAATTGGTCATTTTCAATCTACGACTATTTGTGGGACATTGCTGTGCGCAATTGGCTGCCGTGTTCGCCCACAAATATACAGTCAATTCACTTTACAGTGTGTTCTGTGAAGCGCTTTGGGACGTCCTCCCCACGTGAAAAGCGCTATATCAAATGCAAGGATTATTCTTATTATTCTTATAGTAATTAATATTGCTTCTGCTCATTTAACTTTTCAGAATATTGAATTACACAATAATATGGACGGTGTGAATTACAAGCCTCACAGTTACTTGTGTGAAGTTGAAGATCGCACAGTGCTACATCTTAATTGTCTCAACAAGGCTGAAAGTGTTGTGGAATCCAATTACCTGGACAACACAGGGTCATCATTTGCACCACTTGCAAATGTTTCTCAGCAATATATCAAATGTTGAATTCCACTGGCACAGAAAGGAACTTTTCCCAAACTGAATTACATTCTATGCCACAACAACAACAAATTACTTTCATATTGCAATATCTGGAGGACGTCGCAAAGCTTTGGACAGTCAAGGGTGTGCATCCGAGCTGGGGGTTGGCATCAGGAGGAATGGATGAAGGAGGCAGGGAGGGTCGGTTTAGGAGGGTGACCAAAGGCACGATCGAAGAGGAAGGTCTTGCTAATGCCAGAATGGCAAATTTTACAAATTGCTTTATGAGACTTCCGTGCTCATCTCGTTTCCCCTTCCACCCCCTTCCCCTTGTCTTAATTCATTGGTGGAGGGTTTAACTTATAGTATTTGTTATTTGCAACAAGCAATATGTATGGAAATGTTCCCAAGTGTGTAAAGGAACTGTTACGGGCAAATCTTAACCTTTTTAGAAATTTGTAGCTGGAAATATGGAGTACATATTTTGCTTTAATTTCCTCCATTTATACAAATTAGAATAAGAAAAGTTTGTGTGCTATTCTATATTTACCTTTAGTGTTGCAGTGATAAAAAATTTCAGAATCTATCAAAAAAGGTAATATTTTACCCTTATTATAGTGACGGGAACATTTTAAAGTAAGAATGAGTATAATTTTAATTATCCTTTGTAATTACTGTATATTGTGATTATTTCAAATTATATTGTAATAAATGATTATCTCGAACAAAAGTGTCTGCTTTTCATTAAGAAGAGTCCTGAACAGTTAAATACTATTCATGTAAGGAAGTTTGTCAGTTTTCAAGTATCTCCAGGATATAGTTGAAAACTTTGAGACGATAAAAGATACTTTTTTCATAACATTTTTCCATTCAGATTTCTATTGTGTTGGATCAGAAGTCCCCATTACCAGTTACCAGAAGTCTTCATAAGGACATTCTGCTGATGTGAAAAGTACTGTATAAATGTAGATTTTATTGTATTGTATTGTGTTTGCATGGCTTGAATTTCTTAATAAATTCTTCTAAATAAGTCATCCAGTTAAGAAATGTTGGGAATTACACCCCATAGTAAGAAAAATCATGAACACGGGCACACATCTGACTACTTTTTGGATCTATGAGCAATCCAGCTACTAATAGTAATTGTTGCATGACCTCCCATATATTGAAATAGTGTATGAATATGAATGCACTCGGAACTGAGCCAAGAATTGCCCAATGTAAAAGTTACTTACATTGAGCAATCTGTGGCTCAACGCCCTGAGTGCAATCTATTTTTTCACCCCTCTTAGACAGCAAAACAATCCCACAATTGTATGAGAACTACTGTTCTAACCTGTATTTTCCAGACAGGGAAAACTTGAAGGAAGAAAACCTCAGCAAATTATGCAGATAATTTAAAGTCTTAAAGTTATACTTGAACATCTGTTGTGTTCCTTGATAGCCAAACTAAATAATCCTGGAAACAAAAACAGAGATCGCTGGGAACACTCAGCAGGTCAGGCAGCATCTATGGAGAAAGGAAAGTGAGTCAATGTTCAGGGTCCACAACACTTTGTCTGTTTCAGATTTCCAGCAACTGCAGTATTTTACGTTTTCTAAATAAGCCTTGGGCTGTTTTTCCACTCAAATGATTTTATGGAGACAAAAATTAAATTGGCATCAAGTTGTACAACAGATTTATGTTATACATTGTTTTAATCTGAAGATCATTCTAATGTTATAATAATAATAATAATAATCCTTGCATTTGATATAGCACTTTTCACATCGGGAGGACGTCCCAAAGCGCTTCACAGAACACACTGTAAAGTGAATTAACTGTATATTTGTGGGCGAACGCGGCAGCCAATTGCGCACAGCAATGTCCCACAAACAGTCGTAGATTGAAAATGACCAATTTTATTATTGTTTTTGGTTTTGGAGGAATTATTATTGTTATGTTATTGTTATTGCACAACTTCAAATTGTGATAGATTATCTGACAGAGCCTGTCAAAATGTGTTTTTCTATATGCTGGGGGGAATAATTAGACAAACAGATGAGCTAAAGAAGGAGCTGAAAGGGAGTAGCAGTGGGATTTGCTCATCGCTGAACAGCAGAATTCAGCAGTAATTTTTGATCTTGAAACCTGAAAGATCATCAGGGAACAATACACAGAATTCGCAGGCAGCCCTGCACCATGGTGAGGAGATCCATTCACTCCCTGGCACCTCCCTACCTCTCCGACCTCCTCACTCCCGAATCCACCACCCGGCGCCTCCGCTCGACTGGCACTGGCCTCCTGCTCGTCCCTCGCACCCTCCGCCCCACCATCAGAGGTCACGCTTTCAGCCACTACGCCCCGAAACTTTGGAACACTCTCCCTCAATCCCTCTGCCTTGCCCCCTCTCTCCCCTCTTTCAAGTCCCATCTGAAAACTTTCCTCTTTGACCATGCTTACGGTCACTTCCGTACCACTCCCTCCCCCCCCGGTTCGGAGTCAGGCTCCGCCACTGTTAAGTGCTCTGAGACACTGCCCTGCATGGAGGGTGCTACATAAGTGCAAGTTGTTGTTGTTGAGATTGATGCAGCTGGAAAAAGCTGACACCAATCAATTAAAAGAGTAATGAAGAAAATGGGATCTGAAAATGGGAACCAGCCACAGTGGTAGTTAAAAAAGAAGTGATTGTATTAAGAATATCATTACTCCTGCACAGCACACCACTATAGACAACAACAGAAGTTGCTGGGAACACTCAGCAGGTCAGGCAGCATCTATGGAGAAAGGAAAGTGAGTCAACGTTTCGGGTCCACGACCCTTCGTCAGAAAGAGTAATGAAGAAAGTTGTGACGAAGGGTCGTGGACCCGAAACTTTGTCCTACTTTCCTTTCTCCATAGATGCTGCCTGACCTGCTGAGTGTTCCCAGCGACTTCTGTTTTTGTTTCTGATTTCCAGCATCTGCAGTATTTTGCGTTTTCTAAATAAACCTTGGGCTGTTTTTCCACTCAGATAATTTAATGGAGCAAAAATCAAATAGGAGTCAAGTAGTATAACAGATAAATGTTATACATTGCTTTGATCTGAAGATCATTCAAGTGCTATTGCACAACTTCAAATCAGAAAAAAACCCTGGGGCCTAGTGGTGTCTCTAATTATCTCTGGCATATGGTAAGAACAACAATTTTGGGAGTAGTGGACTGTGGAACTTGTTGCCTGAAGTGTGGATGTATTCAAGCAGCATGCTAGACCTTCTCATAAGAAAGAGGGGAATGGAGGGTATACTACTACTGCTAATAATAATCCTTGCATTTGATATAGTGCCTTATCACGTCTTCGAGACGTCTTAAAATGCTTCACAGAATGTACTGTAAATTGAATTGTCTGTATATTTTGTGGGTGAAATGCGGCAGCCAATTGCGAACAGCAGTGTCCCACAAACTGTTGTGGATTGAGTGACTATTATTTGTTTTAATTTTTGAAGGGATTATTACCCCCGGAAAAACAATCTGCCAATCGACTGACAACTGGATTTCTACTTACTCCTAGGTAAACAGAGGTATGCGAAGTAAGGAAACTTGCCCAACGTTTCGGTCTCTACCGAGAATCAAATCCAGGTCTCTCGCTTGCAAGGTGAATGCTCTAATTCTAAGGAATCGGAGGGAGTAAGGAATGGGTGAAGACTCTTGTGAAGTACAAGCACCAGCATGGACTCTTTGGGCTGAGTGGCCTGTTTCGTGCTGGACAGTCTTTGTAAATCTTTGTTTAGATTCCTAAACCTTTCACTTCCTGGTTCTTTGAAATAGTACTTTAAAATACCGAAGGGACTGTACTAGCAACTCTTTGAAAGGGTGAAAACAGGTTTCAGAAGTTATGATAGAAACTCCACACCTCTTCCCATCCTAATCTATTGAGCTGCATTCATCGTGGCTTAATCTTATTGTAACTGCATTCATGGCTGTTTGTGCGACAAAGCTTTGGAACTCTCTCCCTCAATCCCTCCACCTTGGCCCCCTCCTCCCCTCTTTTTGATCACAGCTGAAGATTTTCCTCTGCGGCCATGCTTACGGTCCCCTCCTCAATCACCCCGGTTTGGTGTCAGGCATTATACAAACAGTCGTGGATTGCATAACCAAATTATTATCATCGTTTTTATGCCTGGAGCAGACTTGTGTGAATCATACAATGTCCCATCAATCTTACATGTTGTGAAGTCTCTCCCACAGACTTGTTTTCTTTCATTTATGATTGCTATTGTTATACATATTTTTATTATTACTAACTTCCATCAATACCTACTCCCTGCTGTTTCAGGTGATTCATATGCAGAGCACGCATTCATCCCTGTGTGCAATTGGCTGCCGCTTTTCACCCAAAAAACATAGTCAATGCCTCAAAGAAGTGATAAGGTGCTATATCAAATGCAAGGATGATTATATTATGTATAATCCTTGCTTCACAGAATATGATGCATATTGTATACAATGTTTTTAAAAACTCAGTCTGAAAAAGGTACAGCGGGTAAAAATGATTACAATGTGAAACCAGTGTTTAAGAGCACAGCAAATAAAAGTAACATATCCTTCACTCCTAATATTCCAACATTGAGCGTAGGTTGAGAGGTGGAATAGGATAATAGGGCCAAACATATAAAGACACCATTCTTATCAGTTTGCAGATTTTACTGAAAATATAGGCATTTTGAAATTCCCTTTCAACTTTGTGTTTCTGCCTTTACTTTAGTAAAAAGAATATTGTGATGGATTATCTGGTAGAGCCTCTTAAAATGTGTTTTTTTTATATGCCGGGGGGAATAATTACAACAACAACAACTTGGATTTATGTAGCGCCCTCCACGCCGGATGGCGTCTGCAAACGGATGAGCAAACGGTTGAGCTAAAGAAGGAGCTGAAAGGGAGTAGCGGTGGGATTTACTGATCACCGAACAGCAGAATTCAGGAGTAATTTTTACCGTGGAACCTGACAGATCATCAGGGAACAATACACGGAATTTGCAGGCAGCCCAGCACCATGGTGAGGAGATCCCTTCACTCTCTGCACCCTCCCTACCTCTCTGACCTCCTCACTCCCGAATCCACCACCTGGCGCCTCCACTCGACTGACACCGGCCTCCTGCTCTTCCCTCGTACCTTCCGCCCCACCATCGGAGGTCATACTTTCAGCCACTACGCCCCGAAACTCTGGAACCCTCTCTCTCAATCCCTCTGCCTTGCCCCCTGTCTCCTTTCTTTGAAGTCCCACCTGAAAACTTTCCTCTTCGATCGTGCTTATAGCCACCTCCCCACCACCACCCCACCACCACCACCCCACCCACCGGCTCGGAGTCAGGTTCCACCACTGTTAAGCATTCTGAGACACTGCCCTGCGTGGAGGGCGCTATATAAGTGCAAATTATTGTTGATGTCGTTGCTGTTGAGATTGACGCAGCTGTAAAAAGGCTGACACCGATCAATTAAAAGAGTAATGAAGAAAGTTATGATGAAGGGTCTTAGACCCGAAACATTGACTCACTTTCCTTTCTCCATAGATGCTGCCTGACCTGCTGAGGGTTCTCAGCAACTTGTTTCAGATTTCCAGCATCTGCAGTAGTATGCGCTTTGTACACCACTGTAGACATTCAGTTAATAAGGTCATTATTCAGCAGGGTGTGGGGGGGGGGAGATTTCAGGGCATGAGCTTACGTGAATCTATCAAAGATTGTTGCAGCCTGCATGCAAATTAACAATGTTAGCCTGTCAGACTCTGAGACTGTCAGGTAATGTTGTTTTGCATGCAATGAGGCAAACGGCATATTTTTGGTGTAGAATGAGGAAACGGGTTAATCACAAGATCTACAAACTCTAGCAACAAGTCACTGGAATACTGCAGCAACTGTATGAATATTGTTTTGTCGTGTTGGAGATAGCCTGCTGCAGGCTCACACATGCTTAAATCAGGGGCTCGGTGCTGAGGGAAGTGCTGAAGCTCAGCTCAGCCGTGGCTCCTGTTCTAGCTGCACACATTGGCCTCAAGTACCCACACGCCAGAGAGGCAATAGGGAACGCTCACCGGGTAACACAGAAGCGTACCCCAACGTGTAAACGATTGTAATGCTGTAATGTACAGAGTGACACTCGATATGTAACCAAAGAGGGTCCTGAAAATGTATGTATGTCTGATTCTTTCTCCCCATAAAGGGAGTGATGTAATAGCTCATTGTCCTGTGGATAAAGCATGATAGAGTTGGGACTCTAACTTGGTCTAACGTGGTTTGAGCACTTGCCTTGCAAACGAGAGGACCTGGGTTCAAATCCTGGCAAGGCGAAACGTTGGCAAGTTTCCTAAGTCCACATGCCTCTGTTCATTTAGCAGTAAATAGGAATCTGGTCGTTAGTTGATTGATGGATCGCTTCTCCGGTTGTAAAAAAAAAGTCCCTTAAAAAAAAATTTGGTTACTCAATCCACAACTGTTTGATGGTCATTGTTGTGCACAATTGGCTACCACGTTTCACTCACAAAATACACAGTCACTTTACGACGTGATAAGGCGCTATATCAAATGCAAGGATTATTATTATTCACGGTCAAACAGGAAGCTTTTCAGGTGGGACTTGGAAAGAGGGGAAACAGGGGGCAAGGTGGAGGGATTGTGGGAGAGAGTTCCAGAGTTTCGGGGCGTAGTGGCTGAAAGCGTGACCTCCGATGATGGGGCAGAGGGTGCGAGGGATGAGCAGGAGGCCAGTGCCAGTCAAGCGGAGGCACCAGGTGGTGGATTGGGGAGTGAGGAGGTCGGAGAGGTAGTGTTGGGATCTCAACTCTCAGTGTTTGAGTCAAAAGACCAGACAATAAAGTTTTGTGGCTAACTCAGTTTATTCAAATATAAGCACAGCACCATCCTGGTAGCGGGCATCACACAGTCCATTGGGAAGTGTGAGATTGGTTAAATCCAGCACCACAGGTACCGTCTCATATCTAATATCTAAGGCCGATGAGAAGGGAGTTTCCATAATCAAGCCTTGATGTGACGAATGCGTGGGTGAAGGGAGGGTTAAGGAGGGGGTGGAAGTTGGGAGGGCAGTGGCAGCTGAGCAGATTCCCTCGGGCATCAGTAATCCTTTGGGTAAAGAAAAACATCCTGGTGTCTATTCCTGAAATTGCCTTTCGCAACTCTAAACCTATGTCCTCTTGTTCCACTGTCTACCCGCTCCTGTCTACATTGCACCTGATGACCTTCCTCTTCGACCATGTCTTTGGTCACTTCCCCTCGTTTCCTGGCTCACCATCAAGTTCCTCCGCTGTTAAGCATTCTGAGACACTACCCTCCGTGACACACGCTATATAAATGTAAGTTGTTGTTACTGGTTCATCCTAAATTATTGTTCTGTGTTTACTGTATTTCTAAACGCTCTGAGATGCTACCCTGTGTGGAGGACGCTATATACGTATAAGTTGTTGTACATTTTCCAATCCCATTTTAAAATAGTGTGCACCCCGACAAGTTTCCTTCTTAAAATGTCTTCTCTCAAAAAGGGAAATCGGTAATTAACTACCTTTATTATTCCAAAAATGCGTTAGTGTTTCAATTTACCGATTAAAGCATTATATAAAAAATGTGGCCCTGCCCACCAATTTGTGATCCACCCATTCACCAAGAATACACTCCCATTATAGGTAAGTAATACATAAAAAGAAACAAACTCTGTGTGCTACATTGTGCTGCGGCGCTTCTTTACACGACATCCAGACATGCAAACTCACATTCTAGTGCTACTTCTAACAGGGGTAAGTGTTAAATACTATAATATCGAGAGACCCAGGTTCGATTCCCGGCAGTGCAAAACGTTGGGCAAGTTTCCTTACTCCGCGTGCCTCTATTTGCCTAGCAGTAAGTAGGGACCTGGTTGTTAGTCGATTGGCAGATCGCTTTTCTGGGGGTAATAATTTCTTCAAATGAATAATAATAATGAATTGGTTACTTCAGTCCACGACTGTTTGTGGGACGCTGCTGTGTGCAATTGGCTGCCGCGTTTCTCCCACAAAATATACAGTCAATTCACTTTATAGTATATTCTGTGAAGGCCTTTGAGACGTCTCAAAGATGTGATAAGGCGCTATATCAAATGCAAAGATTATTATTATTGGTGCACACAGTTGGTTGCTGCATTTCTCCCACAAAGTACACTTTATCCTGTGAAAGACGTTTGTAACATTTAGTTTTTTGTTAGTACGTAATATTTCAGGTAAATATACGAGAGAAAACTATACGTAGGATAAATTCATAAATGTCATTCAAGAACACATTTACTGTTTCCAGTTTTCGATGCAGCATCTCAATCTTCCTTTGGTTGATTTTTTTCTTTTATTCACTAAGTTTTTGGANTTTTTTTTCTACCTTTACTGTATTTGCAATGAACAACTGCTGACATTTTTCTTCATGCAGTGCTTTGAGGTGTTTCTTTCCGTGAAATGGAATAATACAGATGTGATATGTTTCAAGGATAAGCCATTGAACTGACTGTGATAAAATCTATGTCTTTAGGGAAATTATTTATACTTTTACTGACTCACACACAGTTTATAAAGCTGGAAGGCATGTGTAAGTTTGTGAGAGTTTTGTGTGTAAAACATTGTAAAAAGTACGTTTAAAACTGTTTGGCAGATAGCACAATCAAATGGTGTTCACAACTTGATATTTGATTGCGCACAATATAATAGGCCAGGAATCCGTGGAGTCCTGTAGCTCAGTGGTCAGAGCACTCGCCTTGCAAGCGAGACACCTGGATTCAATTCCAGGCAGGGAGAAACCTTGGGCAAGTTTCCTTACTCCACACACCTGATATTAATCCCTCCAAAACAAACCAATAATAAGTTGGTCATTTTCAATCCACGACTGTTTGTGGGGACACTGTTGTGCGCAATTGGCTGTCGCGTTTTGCCCAGAAATATACAGTCAATTCACTTTACAGTCTATTCTGTGAAGCGCTTTGAGACCTCGAGAAGGTATGAAAAGCGCTATATCAAATGCAAGGATTACTATTATAATTATTATTATATTATAATCAAAGCACTGTATATTTATTACTTTCCTGTGTACTATGTAAATGTTAGCCTCCCTCAGCTGATAGTAATCACTCCTCTGAGTCAGAATATTGTGCTTCAAGCTATATTTTGGGATCACAGTATCACTTAAAACCCCAATGCAGTACGTTAACAGGTGCCGATCTTTGCATGAGATGGTAAATCAAAGAGCGGTCTGTTTGTTCAGATGGATATTAGAAATGCTAAGGCACGACTTGTAAAGAGAAGGGGGTTTCTACTGGTGTCCTGGTAAACAATCCTTCAGTAACTTGATCATTAATTTCATGGCTGGTTATGCTGTAGACAAATTGTTTGATAATAATAATAATAATAATAATCCTTGCATTTTGATATAGTGCTTTTTCATGTCTTCCAGTCACTCAAAGCACTTCACAAAATATACTGTAACATGAACTGACTGTATATTTGTGGGTGAAAAGTGGCAGCCAATTACGCACAGCAGCGTCCCACAAATACTCGTGGATTGAAGTGACCAATTTTTTTTTAGGAATTATTATCAGGCTTTTTGATAATTTTTAAGAAGAGACAATAGTAATAAATAATAATAAATAAATAATAAATACAAATAATAATAAAATCTGGGCGTTTGAAAAATTTTCATCACTTTGAAAAATGTGCGTGTGTGTGTTTGTGTGTGGAGGGGACTGCAAATGTTGTAATTGCTCAAATAAAATCGATACATTGAGAAAGTTCTGCCTCATCAAAAAATAAACTTATTCAGTGTTTGTGAATAAACTAACAGTAATAACACATCCATTTGGTTTAGTGATTTAAAACAACTAAACATCTGAAATCGCTTCAGCAATCACTGTGTGTAAACTCAATCAATTTACGCACATCAATGTCCCACAAACAGCCAGAAAAAATGAATGACCAAAGACAAGGATGCTAATGAACTGAGCCAGGCTGACACCCTTATAAATTTGTTGTCAATTTTATTTGAATTGTAATTGCAATATTTAAGTAAGGGCATTTTAAACAACTAATCTGCAGCAGCAATCTCCCACAAACAGCAATAAGCTGAATGATCAATTCCACTGCTTCTTGACAAGTTTGGTTTAGGGAATCATATTGACCTAAACCCTGTGTGGATCCTCTACATATGTTCATGGGAACCATATAAGCGCTTTGAGAAGTCTCAAAGATGTGACAAGGCGCTATGTCAACTGTGTAAATGTGTGAATACCAGGTTTCTTGGAAACAGCCTTGAGGCATCTTGAAGATGTGATGAAGTGTTGTGTCAAATGCTAGCATTATTATTATGATGTGTATGTTGTTCACCTAACCACCAAGCTGGAAAGTCAAGTTCTCAGTCTCAAGAGCACTTGATTATGAATACAGCAGATGACAGCTTGTTATTTTACCCAGAAGGCAAAACACATTGCTGGAGTGTGGTCAGCGAGAACTGTAAATCTTGTTTTACATGATCAAAATCTGTACGTGTTAAATCGTGTTCAGTACACAGGATTGTAAGGGCATTCAATGTATCCTAGATCATTGTAGATCTGAGTGAGTTTTTGATGAAACTCATCTTTGAGAAAGAGGGTTCCCCTTCACAGATTACAACTGGTAGTTTTAAGAACAAACAAACTGGCACATCTGGAAATGTGAGCCTATCGCTGATAAATGCACTGGGCATGGCTGCCTGTGTCCCGGGAGCGGAACATACGACTCAAGGGCAATAAAGTGTAAAACCACTCAGCGCCTTTTATTCTCGCACAGTTGCCCAATATCCACCAGGCATGACTGTGCAACTGTAACCCAATTCATCATGCTGTCAATTCAACTCTGTTAAATACTTTGAATTAAGCATGTTTTTTGTGGCTAATGTGGCTGATTAACTGGGCCTCAATATAATACAGAAAGACATTGGTAAACACCTTTCAGGTCAGGAGGATGTCCCAAGGCGCTGAACAGTCAGGGATTAAGACCTGAGCGCGGGGCAGTTGGGATCAGGGAGGGTGGCGGTGCAGAGAGGGTAGGAGGGTGGCCGAAGGCATGGTCAAGAGGAGGGTCTTGAGGCAGGCCTTGAAGGAGGCAAGGGAGTGAGCGAGGTGAAGGGAATGTGGGATAAAGTTCCAGAGGGTGGGGGCAGAGAGGCTGAAGGCCCAAATGCCAATGGTGGGGTGGGCTGGGTGGGAGACTTGGAGCAGGCTGGAGTGATGAAGGCATGAACATGGCTTGAATGTGGGGGAGAAAAGACAGTTGAGGGTCGAACAAGACACCGAGGTTCCTGACTGACTTGGTGGGTTGTAGTGTGCAACCATGGAGGTTGATGCTGCCAGAGCCTGAGGTGCTGAGGCGCTGGCGTGAGCCAATCAGGAGGGCCTTAGTCTTGTTCACATTCAACTGTAGGAAATTTGCCCTTATCCAGGACTTGATGTCCGATAGGCAGTCTGTCAGGACAGCAGTGGTCCTGGAGTTGAAGGTGGAGGAAGAAAGATAGAGTTGGGTGTCATCTACATACATGTGGAAGTTGACCGCATGTCTGAGGATGATGTCACCAAGGGGGAGCATGTAGATATTAAAGAGGAGAGGGCCAAGGACAGAGCCCCGAGGGACCCCAGACGTGACAATGTGGGGGCTGGAGGAGAAACCGTTAGAGGCAACAAAGTGGAGAAGGTGAGAGAGATAGGAATCGAACCAGGCAAGGGCAGATCCGTGAAGATTGAGTAAGGCGGAGAGGTGGTGTATGAGGATGGAGTGGTCGACAGTGTTGAAGGCCATGGAGGGCCTTGAAGGTGAGGACGAGAATTTTGAACTCGATTCTCTGAGGGACGGGGAGCCAGTGGAGCCGGGCAAGGGTGGACGTGATGGGTTCATGGAGCTGGAGCAGGGGATGACACAAGCTACAAAGTTCTAGATGATCTGCAGCTTGTGGAGGGATGAGTTGGGAAGGGTAACTATAAGCTCGCTCGAAGAGGAAGGTTTTCAGGCATGACTTGAAAAAGGGGAAGGATGGACAAGGCACAGGGATTGAGGGAGAGGGTTCCAATGTTTTGGGGTATGGCAGCTGAAAGCACAACTGCAATGACCTCCAGTCCTGCAGAGGTGATCAAGTGATCCCTTGATCCACCGTGTGGAGTCCTGTAGCTCAGTGGTTAGAGCACTCGCCTTGCAAGCGAGACACCTGGGTTCAATTCCTGGCAGGGCGAAACCTTGGGCAAGTTTCCTTACTCCACACGCCTAATAATAATCCCTCCAAAACAAAACAATAATAAATTGATCATTTTCAATCCACGACTGTTTGTGGGGACACTGCTGTGTGCAATTGGCTGCCGCGTTTCGCCAACAAATATACAGTCAATTCACTTTACAGTCTATTCTGTGAAGCGCTTTGAGAGTCGAGAAGACGTGAAAAGCGCTATATCAAATCCAAGCATTATTATTATTATTATTATATTAAAGGTGATGTATTGTCTAGGGCAACAGGATATCATCAACAATGAATCATCCCATTTGGCGAGGCAATATATAATTCTTCTTGAAAATCAGGTTTCTTGGAAACAGTCTCCAGGAAATCAAATATTTTATTGCGCCAACATTTAAGAACTCAGGCATATAATTAAAGATAAATACTGGATATCTTATATGCATATTGCACCATGTGAAGGAGTTTTTTTGGGATGAACACTTAAAATATGGAATCAGGACAAAGCGAACTAGGTTGAAGTGGGATACATGATATCAGTCAGGTTTTAGAGTTTCAAACAGCCTTTGGGCTGAGAGTGCTTTCACTCATGGAATTACCTAGAATCTACAGTACTTAGACAGGCCATTCGGTCCAAATAGTGCTGTGCTGTGTTTATACTTCATGTGTATTTCCACTAATCCTAATTCCCCACCTGCTCGTCTCCCCTCACTCTGAAGAAGTAGCAGTGTGATGTTAGTTAACTTACTGAAAGAAAGCACTGAGCGCAATCAGCATTAATAATTCCTTCACCTAAACTTCAGTTAAAATCGTTCATTATGTATACTGAACTAGGATATGACCCATGGCAATACAGTGTATTATTATCCCAGAAAGTGATCCGTGAATCAACTAACAACCAGGTTCCTGTTTACTGCTAGGTGAACAGAGGCGTGTGGAGTAAGGAAACGTGCGGATGGTTTCACCTTCCCTGGGAATCAAACCCGGATCCTCTCGTTTGCTGTAACTACTTTGCTACGGGATTCCACATCAATATCGAGACTGAAATTAACACTTGGGATCATATCGTACCGTCCCACAAAATAATAATAATAATAATCCTTGCATTTGATATAGCGCCTTTCACGTCAGGAGGACGTCCCAAAGCGCTTCACAGAACACACTGTAAAGTGAATTGACCGTATATTTGTGGGCGAACGCGGCAGCCAATTGCGCACAGCAATGTCCCACAAACAGTCGTAGATTAAAAATGACCAATTTAGTTATTGTTTTTGGTTTTTGGAGGGATTATTATTAGGCTCTGTGTGGAGTAAGAAAACTTGCCCAAGGTTTCGCCCTGACCTGGAATTGAACTCAGGTCTCGAGTTGAAAATATGCAGTCAATACATTCTGAAGAGTTTTGAGACATCTCAACAACGTGATAAGGCACTATATTAAATGCAAAGAATATTATTATTATATTATATATTATTGCATACTTCACTAATACAGTTTACATTGCAGTTAATCCTGAACTAGAGCTCTGCTCATTATGTTTGGCTTTCCAGTTATAAAGCTCGATGTACATCACACACAGAAACACTGCTCACAAAGTAGATTGAATTGGAGTTCCTATGAATTAGTGTAATGGAATTCCTATAACGTGAGAAAGGCAGAACCCAAAATTCATATTTCATTATTGTGTGAAAATATCCCAAAGAATTTCACTGGTAATTAGCCAGTGAGCATTTTGTTGTCAAACACAATTGATGTCAGCCAGATTCAAAACAGCCATGAGGTAAATAATCAATTCAAATGGAGGGTGGTTGGTTAGGGCATTGGAGGAAACTCTTTTCTCTTTTCATGTGATGTTTGATATCCAACTAAACAGGTTGACTGAACCTCAGTTTAATGTCTAATCTGAATGGAGGAAGTGTCTGTTGAGTTTAACTTTGGATTTGAAGCTTGAAGCTACAAACCCCTGAATCAAACATGCTATAATAGAAATATAATGTAAGTAACGAAAAGTGTTTGTGGAGAGAAACATTCGAGACTTGAATAATAATAATAAATAATCCTTGCATTTGATATAGTGCTTTTCACGTCGGGAGGACGTCCAAAGCGCTTCACAGAACACACTGTAAAGTGAATTGACTGTAAATTTGTGGGCGAACGCGGCAGCCAATTGCGCACAGCAATGTCCCACAAACAGTCGTAGATTAAAAATGACCAATTTAATTATTGTTTTTTGTTTTGGAGGGATTATTATTAGGCTCTGTGTGGAGTAAGGAAACTTGCCCAAGGTTTTGCCCTCTGCCTGGAATTGAACTCAGGTCTCTCGTTTGCAAAGCGAGTGCTCTAACCACTGAGCTACAGGACATCCAGGAATAGTATGGACAGAAGAGTACCTATCAGGGAGTACCTATACACAAGTTTCTACAGAAGATAGAGTGGTGAAAGTCAGTCCATATGTTTTTGTGTCGTCTTTAGAAGGAATGGGCTTGATAGGTTACATGCTCTTTTTTATGCTCATGGGCACAGTTCACTGTAGGGAGACAGTGCGGAGGCTAGTAAGGTCACCCTTACATTATAGTTCTATTCTTTTTACAATCCTGTTATTGATGATCAGCTTCACAGCTGGTGCTTAAAATTGCTATTTACTTATGTTTTCCAAGGTTACTGTGCTGAACTCCTCAAAACAGAATGGAAATAATTTGGGACGCATATCAGAAGGAAGGTTCCAACAGAAATCATCTAAACTCATTAGAACTGCAAGATCGGTACTAATTTTATATATTTTTGTTTTATTAGTTCTTATTTTTGAACATGATGTTTATGTGAAGTGTTAAACGAAACCAGGCATCTACAGCAGCTTATATCCATATTTCAAAGTGGATTATTCCCTCTGGGAAAGCCTATTGCATTCTTGTGGGGGAAGGATTGCTGTGCACAATTGGCTGCTGCGTTTCGTCCACAAAACATACAGTCAATTGACTTTATAATATCCTAGCTGTACCCGTTGCAGCTTCGCTTGCAACCAAAGGATCCAATATGGAATGTAGATTGACACACAGACAGACATTTCATTTAGACATTAAGCTCAGCTGGGAGGACTCCTTTAATATATTTTCTTTCTCAGTCAGTCAGTCTCTCTCTCTCTCTCTCTCTGTGTCTCTCTCTCAGTCTCTGCCTCAGTCTCTCTTAATCTCTCTCTCAGTGTTTCTCTCAGTATGTCTCCCAGTCTCCCTCTCTCAGTCTCTCTCTCAGAACAGTGTGTGCTTTCCTCTGTTGCTACATAGTTGCAGAATATGATGCATACCTTATATTTTGGGGCTTAATTAAAGCATTTTTTAATACAGCTCATCAATAATAGGAGACTCCCCCCCAAAAAAAAATATGCCCATGACACTGCCAGTTACAAGACCTTTCCGATGAGGTATAAATCATGTCTCCACGTCAATTGGTTATGGCGTGATTGTCAGATACACTGACACACAGACAGACATCGTTGTTTTATTAGTATAGATAGACAGAAGAAGAAAATAGAAGGGCACACCTCTGTACGCCCATAGTTCCCGACACAGTGAGCTTCCTGATCTCAGCTGTGCTATGTTGGGGAAACAGTTTCATGTCAAAATAGAATGACATCAATAGATCTTACAACCATAGAAATTTATAGCGCAGAGAAGGTTATTGTGTCTGAATTGGCTATTTGAAAGATCAATTCATTCAGCCCCATTTACCTGTTTTTCTCCATACCCTTGTAAATTATTCCTGTTTAGATATCTATTCATAGTAGTTCTGTCTTTAAAGCTAATCTGGATCTTGCCTCAACCACCACACCCAGAAAGGCATTCCATCTGCAACGAATCTGTGCAAAAAGAAATTCCTTGTAATCTTCCCCTTTTGCTGCTTTGCAAGCTCATTTACAATGAGCTGTCTATTCACCGGACAGACCACTTTCCTTTTTTTGACCCACTAGCTGTACTCGTTGCAGTTACGCTTTCAACCAGAGGATCCACTATGGAATGTAGATTGACACACAGATAGACAGACATTTCATTCTTATTGATGCTTATCTGGGAAGACTCCTGTGGGAAGACTCCTTTTGGGAGAACATAGTGGGAGGACTTGGTGCTTAAAAATTTAATTTTGTTGTTGTTGCCACTACTTAGCTTATTTTGTGTTCGTTATTGAGATCCTTCTTGAATCGCAGAACAGATACTGTCATTTTATTAGTATAGATAGATATTCTGTGCAGCGCTTTGAAATGTCTCAACGATGTGCAATAAGGCACTATATCAAATGCAAGGATTATTATTATTAAGGAGAACAGCAGGCGAGCTGGTTCAATGGGGAAATAACTGAGTATTGATGCTAAAAATAAATTCAATGAAAGAAATGAAAACAATTATGTTTCAGGACTTGAAGAGAAAAAGAATCAAGCCAACTATGTTAAGTCGTCAAAAACGTGATTGGGTTCTTGCTACTTTTAGTGTCACTGAAGAAGATGAAGGACCTTTTCCTAAATTCATTGCAAAGGTAAGAATTAGAACTGAAGAACGTGAGGAGACTTTTGGAAACCTTTGCTGAAATTTAGGGTTTGTTAGCATTATACATTGGACTTACTGTTTGCAGCTTCAAAAGTCTGTTCAGCATTGCTCAAGAAAAAAGAATTGTTCCACTGGAGCCGTTGCCATTGATTAAATTGTCAGGCGATGGTTTTGAAAGCAAGCGTCCAAATCCACTCAAAATCTTTACAAGTGGCGTAGTACTTCTTATGCAGTAGTAGTCCGATTAGAGAGCTAATAAAATCAATGCCTAGATATTTTTCAGAGGATATTTAAAGTGATTAGAAAGCGACCACGTCAGGCTTTTCTCTGAAGCAAGATGGCTTAGTTTGTATTACTGTTTACAAAAGAAAGAACATGGTTAAAAAAAATGTAAGATGAGTCCGGACACACAGTGGTCAATGCGCTACTTAATGTGAGGATTTCAATTGCTACCCATCAGCTTACTCTGTGAAAACATATCAAATACAAAATATCCATTCCCACTACAATGTTAAACCAAATTAAATTGATCTCTATATGCTCAAGTTATCGTGTAACAAGTCCGGTGTAACAAATCAATCTTTATAATTTTTTTTATACATTTAGCTTTATAATGACAATTCAATAAATAATGAATTGAAGTATCGAATTATGGGCTCTGGCATTGATCAAGATCCAGAACAAGGCCTGTTTGTAGTAAACCAAACTACTGGAGATTTATTCGTTACTCGCAAAGTTGATCGGGAAAAACATCCCCAATTTAAGGTAAGAATTTAATTCAGTTTGTTAAATGATTAAATTGATGCACTTTCGGTCACCTTTCCCCCTGAACCCCGCCCTAAATCTCCTCAACTCTCCACCTCCCCCTCCACCCCGCCCCTTGGTCACCATCTGAGCACAGTCAGCTCTGTGACAGAGATGTCTTTGTGACGTGAAAGGCACTATATAAATGTAAATTGTATTGTGTATATATATATATAAAATCCCCCCATTCAGTGGAGTCCTGTAGCTCAGTGGTTAGAGCACTCAACAACAACAACAACAAGATTCCATTTATAGAGCGCCTTTCACGTCGGGAGGACGTCCCAAGGCGCTGTCAAGACGTCCCAAGACGTCCCACTCGCCTCGCAAGCGAGAGACCTGGGTTCAGTCCCCAGCCTGGCGAAATGTTGGGCAAGTTTCCTTACTCCACACACCTCTGTTTACCTAGCAGTTTAAGTCGGAACCTGGTTATTAGTCGATTGGCAGATCGCTTTTGCAGGGTAATAATTCCTTCAAAAAAAATAATAATTCAGTCACTCAATCCACAACTGTTTGTGGGACACTGCTGTGCGTAATTGGCTGATACATTTCACCCACAAAATATACAGTTGATTCACTTTACAGTGTATTCTGTGAAGCGCAGTGAGATATCTCGAAGACTTGATAAGGTGCTATATTGGATGCAAGAATTATTATTTGTGCAAACCCATTAAAATATACATTTACTTATATTAATACTTTGTTCAAACTCCTGAAACAAGTCATTACTACGCAGCTTCACTCTTTCCTCTCCCGCCAATCCCTGTATGAACCCCTCCAATCCGGTTTTGTGCTGCCCACAGCACAGAGACTGCCTTAGTTCAAAGTTACAAATTACATTCTGTCCAACTGTGATCAGGGCCCTCTCTGTCTCCTCATCCTTCTCAATCTCTCTGCTGCCTTCGACCCTGTCAACAACTTTATTCTTCTGCATCGCCTCCCCTCTCAGCTCCACCTTCTGTCCTTCTCTGGTTTCACTCTTACCTTACCTGTCTCTATGCCCCCACCCTCTAGAACTCCATCCCAGAGTCCCTTTGCCTCGTTGCCTTCTTCAAGGTCCATCTCAAGACTTTTTGACTGTGCTTTGATCATCTTTTCACTGCCACCTCCTATTGATTCCAAACCACAGCTCGGGTGCAAACTCTCGATTGTCCAAAGCCTTGGGACGTTCTCTTGACATGAAAGGCGCTATACAAATGCAATTTGTTGTTATTGTTGTTGTCTCTACGTCTCATTTTTCAAAAATGAAGAGAAAGCTTAGCCCAATATTGTAAAGCTGTCACATCACATTTAAAATATTTGTATATTAGTTTAGCATGTTTTGAATAATCAAATATCTGTTTACCTCTAGATGACAGTTTTTGCTTTGAGAAGTCATGACTCCTTTAATTTAGACCGTTTACAGAGTTATTATATCTCGGTGAAAGATATCAATGACAATCCTCCAGAATTCCCCAAAATAGTGGAGAATATAACGATTCCTGAAGTCCTTGGTAAAGGTGAGCATTTTGATTACTTCATATTTTAAATGTACAGCACACCTAATGAAATGATAAAATTAATTATAAATAAAGTAGGTACGCTACTCAATGTGAATTATGGACTTTGATTTTGTCTTACTGAATGGTTTAAAAAATAGTTTTGTTTACAGTAATAAAAATTGCATTGGATAGGTAAGATTATATGTGTCATGCTTACTGTTTTTAAGATTTTTTATCAGTATACTTTTAAAATATAACCAAACACTTACAGTCTAGTATTGTCTAATGTTTAGTATTGCATTCCTTAGCTATTTGGGCATGGACAAGGAACGACTAACTGAGGGCCCCTGAGAGGGTACATGTGCCATTCAGGGTTAGGTAAAGATATATTGGCTTGACTCTGGCTGAGGTCAGGCTCTGATGAGTTTCCTTCCTTCAGTGCCTAGATCCCAATGTCATCTTCCAATCTAAGAATTGAGTAATCATGTCCTTGAGCACAGATATGAAAACGCGAAAACAAGAGAGAAACACGATCCTGGAAATGTGATTAGCTGAAGACTAAGTAACAGGAAAGGAATCATCCCAATTAGCTGTCCGTATCTCTTTCTCCTTATCAGTTATTTTCCCATGCGGAAAGAGCCTGCTCAAAGATGGCTGGCAGCCTGCGAAAGGTGGAGGCTATCTCTGCGACAAGGGAAGATGGAGTTAGAAACACACAAAAGAAATATGTAACTTTGAAATAGTTGGAGTTGTGTAGAGGGTCAGCACATTTCCCAGTGGAATCGATATCAATTCTATTGTATCTATGGTCTCAGTTTTAAGAATAAGTTAAGCTGTTTGTGTTACTCGATAAACCTTGGATTGTTACACCACTGTATTGGTCGTCTGCATCCGAAAACCTTACCGATATACTTCCTTTTGTTAGGAGGACATATCAAAGTGCTCCAACAACAACTTGAATTTATTTAGCACCTTTCATTCCAGGGCAGCGTCTCGGAGCGATTCGCAGGATTTATCGTAGAATGTAGTAACCATTTTTATGTAGATGAAGAATGGTGCTGTTGTGCACAAAATAATTATGCCCTGAAGTCTCTTCTTGGAACACTTATTTATGCCTAAAGTGTCCATTTGTCAGGAAAGAAACTCATTGCCTCCATACTGTGAGATTTAATAATGTACTGCTTTGTAGATATGAACAGCTTCTCACCCATTTCCAGGGTACAAACTATTTGTTGTTGATACTGTAATGTTCTGTGTAATTTGGAGGCAAAACAGGATTTATATAATGATGTAGCTCTTGGTGGATTGTAAAAAAAAGCTTGGTTGCTGAGGGAAAAATGGATGATAAAGGCAAGACTCATTGTTTTCTTTTTGGTTTAGGTCAAATCGCTTACAGAATTCAAGCTGTTGATAAGGATGAGAAAAATAACCGTAACTCCAAGGTTTCATACACTTTGATTTCTCAAACTCAAATCAGTAGTCCTAAGATGTTTGCAATGATTCAAGATAGTGGAGAAATTACACTTCAAGGTTGTTTGGATTATCAGGTATGAGAATTTAACAGGTTGCATTTATGTAAAATAAATTAATACTGTGTACTTTCCATTTTGCTCCTGATTTATATGCTTGAAAACACTAGAAGGCTCCACACAGGCTGTTGGATGCTGAATTTGAGGCCATTTACCAGTTTGAATAAGTTCCTTTCATGCTCAAACATATTCCGACTTTTAAGCTAATTTTCAAACTGTGCAAAGAATCTATGTGTCTTTTACTAAAAGTATGCACCAAGACGAGAAAACAAGAGACCACCATCGGCGGTCGGACCTTCAGCTTCTCTGCCCCCACCTTCTGGAACTCCATCCCACAATCCCTTTGCCTTGTTCCCTCCTTTGCCTCCTTCAAGGCACGTCCCAAGACGCTCCACTTTGACCGTGCCTTCAGCCACCCCTACCCTCTCTGCCCTCCACCCTCCCTGATCTCAGCTACCCCCTCACCCACCCCGATTATGTTGGCATATCCAACAGTATGCAAAATAAAGTTTACATTGTGCCGTTGTTGTCTCCTTGTTACAGAAGTTGAAGTTTTACAGTTTAGTCATCAGAGCAAGAGACGATGGCTATCCTAAACCACTATCCTCCACAACCACAATACATTTCAATATTAAAGATGGCAACAATCATCCTCCTGTTTTTGACAGTCAAAGTGTAAGTATTAATCAAAATACATATTTTATAAACTTTCTAAGATTACGGGGACTTCTACTTAGATTTTTTTGATGAGCATACTCATTCTTGTATCATAGTTCTTCCAAATGCATTTTCTTTCTAGATTTACAGTCAGTATAATAATTCTAATAATAATAATAATAATCCTTGCATTTGATATAGCACTTTTCAAATCTTCTAGTCGTCTCAAAGCACTTCACAGAATATACTGGAAAATGAAATGACTGGATATTTGTGGATGAAACGCAGCAGCCAATTGCACACAGCAGCGTCCCACAAAAAGTTGTGAAATTAGGTGACCGATTTATTATTGTTTTTTTTTCTTGAGGGATTATTATCAGGCAGGTGGAGTAAGGAAGCTTGCCAAAGATTTTGTCTGCCGGGAATCAAACCCAGGTCTCTCACTTGCGAGGCGAGCTACAGGACTCCACATAATCCTTGCATTTGATATAGAGCCTTATCACATCTTCGAGACGTCTCAAAGCACTTCACAAAATATATTGTAAAGTGAATTTACTGTACGTTTTGTGGGTGAAACATATACTTTGTATTTTTTGTTATTTAGAAGCATCATCATAAAGATGGAATATCTGGTCAACTGGATTCAAAAACAAGTTGCACTTGTATACTGCATTTGATATGTGATGACTGTCTCAAACAACTTATACTGTACTACCATATCAGTATAATAGATACTACAAGCATACTTGTGTGAGAAATGATGCATAAATGAAATTGATGAATGATAATAAGTAAACCATTGAGCATTAATAGAGATGAGAACACAACAGCAAACTACGTCACCATGCCCTGGTGGACTTCACAGTATCCCAACTCTGCCCACAACTGGGGTAGGTGGTATCATGGGCTTTTTTGTGTGTTGGCTTCATCTTTAAAATAATAATAATAATCCTTGCATTTGATTTAACGCCTTATCCCGTCTTCGATACATCTCAAAGCGCTTCACAGATTATACTGTGAAGTGAATTGACTATATATTGTAGGCAAAACACAGCAGCCAGTTGCACACAACAGATTCTAAAATAAATCACCTTGTGGGCCTATTTCATCTTCAACATCAGATTTTAAATATGTTATTGGACTTGCAGGCCTCAGGTAGTGCGCATGAAAGTGACGTTAATTCAGTTATACTAAGAGTAAAGGTTACAGATGAAGATCTTCCCAATACGCCAGCCTGGCGAGCAAAGTATACAATAACAGAAGGAAATGAACACGGAAACTTCAAGATTGAGACAGATGCAGAAACGAATGATGGCATTGTAACTCTAATAAAGGTGAGACATTTGAGATAAATGTGAAATTGTACGGTCCTGCGTTATTCTTGGTATAAATAAATATTGCTCCCCTTTTGCAAGGCACAGTCATGATGAAATCATGTTCCTTTTAGTTGCTACATTTCTTCCTGTAGTCTTTTTCGTTTCCCCATTGGACCTCAACAGAACTGTTTCCAACAGTGTAGTAGGTTAAAAAAAACTCTAACCTGGACTATGATATGGAGAGTAATAAAGAGGTATGCTTTTCACTCTTGTTATATCAATGGCAACCTATGCAGTTTTAGCTGGTTAGACTCCAGCAGTTACCCCAACGCATACTCTGGGGTCCCCCAAGCCTTAGCTCTTGCCAACCCGCACCGAATACTTTCTGGAATTAGGTGAGCAGGATTAATCTCAGCTTAGTTTGGATACTCTTAAGCACGGTGATGGGTTTCCACCTGTGTCGGACACAAGAAAAGGTAAATAAATTCACTCTTGGTTTTCTTTAACTGAAAACCACGCAGAAAACTACTCGGAAACCAGAGACAACCATCTTCACTTTGATACTGGCTCAATTGTTTAGTTCACTTTCCCTTTGCTGAGGTGATAATATATTTCAAAGCTACCAAACTACTTCTGAAATAACATTTTCTGTTTCACTGTATTAATACTATAGCAAATGGATTACGAGGGCGGTCCACAGAGGAAACTCAAGATTGTTGTTGAAAATGAAGAACCGTTATTTATCTGCGGGGACGATAATGACAAAAACAGCAAGATCGAATCAGAAAGCAAAACTGCAATTATTGAAGTGGTGGATGAAAATGATGCCCCTATTTTTAATGTTACTAATATACTAATCAAACGGATAGAAGGTCTTCAGCCTGGAGAGAAGCTGGGGACAATCAGTGCTTATGATCCGGATGCATTTTATAAAAATAAAATCAGGTAAGAATGTTAAAATTGCCCATTATTGGAGATTTTAAGAGCAGAACAGAGATTAGAGATAACAGTTCCCTGATCATTCACAAGTAAGAATCACAGAGCTTGAAGCATTTTTAAAGATATGCATTAAGTGCTCCAAAAAAGTTGGAACAATGGTGCCCGAGGTAACAATAATAATCCTAGCATTTGCTATAGCACATTATCACGTCGGAAGGATGTCTCAAAGCGCTTCACAGGAATTACTGTGAACTGTGTCTTTGTGGGGAAACATGGCAGCACAATTGCGCACAGCAATGTCCCACAAATAGCCAAGAAATCAATGACCAATTTTACTTATGGAGATCGTTGGCCACGACACCAGAAGAGAGAAACTCCCTTCTCTTTTCAAATAGTACCGCAGGATCATTAACGTCCACCTGAACAGGCAGATGGGCCATCGGTTTAACGTCTCAATACTGTTTCTAAAATACTTGTAAAATACTACTGGAAACACCATGCTTATGATGAAGAAAGGTTTGGGTGGAAAATTCAGGTTTGGGAGGATGGATGGGCCACAGAAACCAACAGTACAAATTTGATTGGCACTTTAAGAGAGATCAGGTAACTTAGCACAAATCAGCAATCGAACCAAAGTTCTTCCTAGTGTAATAATAATAATCCTTACATTTGATATAGCGCCTTATTACGTCTTCGAGACGTCTCAAAACGCTTCACAGAATACACTGTAAAGTGAATTGACTATATTTTCGTGGGCAAAGCACGGCAGCCAATTGCGGACAGCAGTGTCCCACAAACAGTCATGGATTGAAGTGACCAATTTATTATTATTATTTTTTTTTGAAGAATTTATTACCCCCGGAAAAGCAATACGCCAATCGACTAACAACCAGGTTCCTATTTACTGCTAGGTAAACAGAGACGTGTGAAGTAAGGAAACTTGCTTAAGGTTTTATCCTGCCAGGAATTGAACCCAGATCTCCACTTGCGAGGCGAGTGCTCTAACCACTGAGTTACAAGACACCAGTTTATGTGTCTCTATGGCATTGGATCTCGCCACGTGATCCATTGACCGATGAGACGATCCGTTTTATCTTTCTGAGTTTTAAATAATTCTTTACCACCTTTTTTTTCCTGATAGATACGTGAAGGCATTTGACCCAGAAAAATTAGTGTCTGTAAATGAAGTGACTGGTGAGGTCGAAACAGTCAAAGAGATGGATCGAGAGTCACCTTTTGTGAATGGAACTAGTTATAATATTATTATTCATGCGATTGACGATGGTGAGTTCTCGTTTTGCAAGAACCTTGATAATGCTTCAAAGAATTTTTTTGAAATTTGCTCTGGAGTATTTTACTTCAAAAGTAAAATTCCGCACATGTGAAAAAATAGAGCATCTTGACCTGTTCATAAATATAAATTTAAAGTGTGCAATGCATGGTTATAGGTTCTGCAATTACTGATCTCTAGTCTCCCCTGGTAACTGTAGGGATGGTGTATCATGAATAATTATTGAGGAACTTCTTATCTTCTCTCCTCTAGCTGACCCTCCCCTCACTGGAACTGCTACAATCCATTTGGACATAAAAGATGAGAATGACAACACACCATATTTAGTCTCCCCAGAACAATATGTGTGTATTGATAGTAATTCGCCATATATAGACATCAAAGCAGCAGATGATGACATGGATCCATTTAGTGGACCCTTTACATTTGAGCTCGTGGATAACAAAGAACCTGGAATCGAGAAATGGAAATTAGGTGAAGTAAAAGGTGAGACTTCTTTGGGGATGCCAATGGAAAGAGGAACCAAAGACATTTTTATTACTCTACTATACTAGTATCCTTGTTCAATCAAACAGAATAGTTGATTACATAATAATAATAATCCTTCCATTTGATATTGAGCCTAATAACATTGTTGAGACATCTCAAAGTGTTGCACGGAGTGTATTGTAACGTGGACTGACTGTGTATTTTGTGGGTGAACATTTACCCAACATTGCATCTTTACTCCATTGCCACAGATGCTTGTTTAATATAAAAATATATTTGTAGTTGCAATTAAATCAACTGTTTATTTTGCCTTTCGTATTGTAGAAAATGTATTTATTATTAATTAGGCTTACGTAGTGGCTGTACTGTTTTCGACAGATGATTCTGTACAGCTTCTGAGAGAAGGAGAATTGGCACTTGGATATTACGATGTGCTTTTCATCATAAAAGATCGGCAGGGTGTCTCCAAAGAGAGTACATTCAAACTACGAGTGTGCCACTGTAATCCTGAGAACAAATGCAAAAGTTTAAGTGACACTAGATCCATCGGAGCTGGCATCCTCATTGCAATGCTCTTTGTTGCTTTGTTATTATTTCTGCGTAAGTACAGAAACATTTCGATTAGGACAAGATGTCAATTCTCAGCAGTTTAAAACCTTATTCTCCTTCACAGTGCAGTCAATTAAAAACAAATCTGTTCTGTGTTTTTATCAATTTACCTTTATTTTAATATTAATGTTTATCTGAGCAATTTGAATAGCTTGCCATGTGAACAGCAACGACAACAACTTTCATTTATGTAGTGCTTTCACATTGGGGGACATGTGGATCAGCAAAAGGAGAATTTCAATCACATTTGCACAAATTAATCTGTGAGCCATTCAGAACGATTTAGCATGAAAGAGGCTGATTCTCTTATTGAACATTTGGAAGCTTTTGTTGGGGAGAAATTCCACCAGGCTCCAGATTTACTCTATGTAAAGTAGCATTTTAGAATGACCAGAATCTGGAAAATTGTTGAATTTAGTCTCAACTTCGAAGCTATAAGTTCTTAAAAAAGCTTACAGGAAAACAGTTTCAAAATTAAAACTGTATTTAAGAATACAGTATATCAGTTATTGTATTATGTAAAAGTAATGCAATTCTTTAATTGATTACATGGCATACACTTAACTAAAACATATCATCCAGGACAATATGACAGACTACTGCAGTGAGATTATTATTTTTACTCACTCATATTGTTCTTACTGTTTTCTCTCCATATAGTTATTTCATGTTTGTTGCTATTGTGTCAGTTCAATGTAAAGAGCAATTCAAATGCAATTGATTATGATGCACCTTTCGGGACACTGATAAAGTATAATGAAGAAGGAGGAGGTGCATCATCCGAGGTAAGGATTTATAAACCATTTAAAATCTAAGCATGATTAGACTGTAATCTTATAGCAAGCAGGTTCGAAATAATGAGTATATAAATAATAATAATAATAGCATCATGGTATACAATGTAAAGGGTAGTGACTGCGTATTTTGTAGAAATAAAACTCGGCGGCCAGTACGTGAATTAAAAAATCTTTAGTGGTCCTTATTTGTAATGCAATAACGTCTCTGGACTGGGGAGCTGTATTCTGTGAAAGAAATACATTTTTTTTGTGGGGGTGGGGGGGGGGGGGGGGTCTGGTGATGTCTTAGAGTTGCAGCTTATTACTTTTATACTGCATGAGATTTGGGCATTCTATCTGTAAAGTTGGTGAGCATTACAGACAGTGCACTTAGCTTGTCTGGAGTGTATTGATGAAAACATGCCAATGACCATTCAGGCTCAGTGGGTAATGGAGTGTGTGTAATAGGTAGGCGGGAAGTTGTCAATGCTTTGACATATTAAGCTTACTTCTTGTTTCTTAACAGGCCAGCACAATTCACAACAGACCAACAAACATACAGATGCTAAACACTGGATTGCAACCTTCAGGCACATATCGATTGAAAACTGAAAATATTTTGCCACAAAAAGTAAGCAGCGGTTTTCTCTATTTCCTTGCAGTCTTCAGTGTGCAAAAAACACCACAGTGCAGGGAGGTGGGAACAGATGCATAAAGGCTGCATAAGAAAAATTCTTAAAGATCTATAATCTGATAATATAGTCTTGAAAGCATCTTCTGGATGGTCAACAATGTAATTTCACTTACAGTGAGAATATTTTCTTGGCAGCTTTTTTGCAATGTCACGGTACTGTATATCTCCCAGAGTATATTTTTTTCCTCCTTTATCCTACCCACAACGCTTTATTTATTTAAACCCATTCTTATTTATTCAACGGGTAATAATCTACAGACAGAATTTCCCGAATACGGCACATCCTCGCAAAAATAAAACACCCGAGCACTACATGCAATCCTATACTTTAAGACGACTGAGCTTCAAGAAATGCCGACTGTCCGGGAAGCACTGATATCTCTCGCAGTTAGTGGTTCCCGGCAAGTATCTCAACTTGATATCTCCCCAAGTGCCCAGCTCCTCTTTTGTTCTCTATCCTTTATCTCTAACTTGTTCCTTGTTGCTTAGATTGCCCATGTGTCATTTTAATCAGGACTTCTGTCCTTGTTCCATCTGCTTATCTTATTGTTTACCTCTTGTCAATGTATCTTAAACTTGCATGTTAGTCCCAACTCCTCCCGTTCAACCTTTGTTCTTGGAATCTTCCTGGCATTATCTCCCTTGGCCTCTATTCCTGGAATGATCTCCCTAAGTGCAACTCAGGACAGCTTCCTCATTGAGATACACCCAGGTCAGAAGCCATGATCTGTTTCAGGGGTATCCCTCAATGATACATTAAACTGCCAGAATAATTATATACATAATTCCTACTGCTGGTGGGGGATGTGGGTGGGGGTGGGTTGGGGGGAAATAGATTGATGTCATGATTTGTATTTCAGCAATTATTTCAGGCTTCAGTACAAAGAATGGCCCGAAGCCATACCTTATCTGGCTACGCCTTGAGAACTCAGGACAGCTTGAGACATTTGGTAAGAACATGTACACTTCTATCTTCAATTAAAGTTGGAAACCTTTTCTCTCTACCCCTCCGCCTCGTTCCTCTGTAGCTGTTTTCAAATCCTGTTTCAAAACCTAACACTTTGACCAAGCCTCTGGTCACCTCACTATCCTATCCTGCTCTGGGTAACTGCCTCACCACTACAAGTGACTCTTTAGATTGAGATTCAAAACCTTCCGTGGAATATTTTCACCAAATAATTATATTCTTAATTCCTATCGCTGGCTGAAGTATTGATGTAAGATGTTATCCTACATGAAAGGCGCCATGCGTATGCAATTTATTGTGTTAATAATTCTTTTGTATTATTTAAAATTGATTTCACTCTGAAGCATATGAATTTTATCATTCAGGGAACACTACGTTTCAATGGTTCAAAGAAGCATTCATCTCTCGACAGACGCATTCCAACATGTGGGAGCGACCTGGATCAACACTTAAATCAGGTAAGGGAGTCATCATTGCAAGTTGTATAGGAAATTACTTTCGTTGACAAAGGGAATTATTCATTGATTTATTTAATTACTGAAAGGTTTCTGTGTTAAAGTGGCCCGAGAGGGTACTGTGGTAAACCACTCCGATTGTAGATTGGATTTGCAAACCATTTCCAGGTAGAACGCTAACATTTTCCTCCCAGGACTTTCTGACATGAACAAAGCCTGTTCAAGCAAAGGTTCACGTCTTCTAGATATCTCAAAGCATTGCACCAAATATACTATAAAGTGTAGTGACTGTATATTTATGGGACTGTATATTTGTATAAATGGATGTAATGAACCTAGAATGTAAAGATCTATTAAATGGTTAATAGATCATTAGATCTGTTCCATGATAACTTCATGTTGAGACCAGCTAGCCCGGGCAGATTCTATGTGTATGTCACAATTTGCAATAGACTGGTGAGGGCAATGTTTAGAGCGCAAATGACAATTCATTGAAATCAAACAAATGAACCTGAATGCTAAGACCAGCTGGGTAATCTAACCTCTGGAGGAGTTAAAACATTTTTTTTTTAAAAAACGTGTTACAGTGAGATTGATAATTTGCTCCTTTAAATTAAGAGATTTAAGGATACTTCCTGCAATACTGTCCAGTCAAGACTGTGCTATCGTTTGTAACAACAGTACAGGAATCACGCGGAAGCCGTTGTTGCGGCAATAAATTGGTCCTTCATCTTCATGGTTGATTGATTGTGGGCTGATTCTGAGCGCAAATTGCCTGCGGCATTCATCTACAAATACACAGTCATTAAACTTTACACAAATTTTGTGAAGCGCTTTGAGATGTTCTCCATTTTAATAGATAATAATAATAATACTTGCATTTGATATAGCACCTTATCACATCTTCAAGGCATCTCAAAGCGCTTCACAAAATGTACTGTAAAGGGTAGTGACTGTGTGTTTTGTGGACGAAACGCAGCAACCAATTGCGCACAGCAGTGTCCCACAAACAGTTGTGGATGGAGTGACTAAATCTTTATTGTATTTTTAACAATGTTTTAGATGCTATATTAAATGAGAGAATAATTATTTATTATGATGGTCATGTTTTATTTTCAGAGAATTTACTTTCATAATGACTTGGACGCAGTTCGTGAAGATTATGGCCCCCGTACTTACATTTACGAAGGGAGAGACGACAGTTTAATCTCTCTGGACTCTTTGACCCACACTGAACAAAGTGGTAACTACACCTACCTGTCTCAACTGGGGTCGAAGTTTAACAATCTTGCTAATGCCTGTCAACTGAATGATCAGTGGTGAAAAGGAATGCTATACGATGACCTTGCTACCAAATTGTTATATAATTATTATCTACTTTTACACTGTTAATGAGGTAAATCCATGCATTTAGAAACTACGTATTACTATATCTATTTTCCCATACCTCTAAATTCACAAAATATTGTCCATCATTTTTTAAACCGTAAGTGTCGAGCTTTAAGAAGCATGCTGAATATTTCATTCTTATTTCACAGAGTAATAGGTTTCTAACGGATTTTTTTGCACCATAATCTACATTTGTCTATGAAATATAGTCACTGCACTTCACAGTGTATCCTACAAAGTGTTTTGAGATGTCCTCCCGGTGTGAAAGATGCCATGCAAAATGAAAGGATTACTTTTATTATTGTTGCTTTGAATCACAATAATAACAATTAAGGCATCCCTTACCCTGGAAAAGAGAAGATTGGGAGGCGACATGATTGCGGTCTTTAAGATTCTAAAAGGGGTTAGATGATATAGATCACGCTAGGCAGTTTCTAACTTGTCCAGAATAGTAAAACCAGAGGACACGGACTGCGATTGAAGGGGGCTAAATTCAGAATGAATCTACACAAACACTATTTCAGTGAGCGAATAGTGAACCTGTGGAACAGGCTCCCTAGCGAGACGGTTGAAGCAGGAAATGCTGATTCTTTCAAACACAGATTAGTGTGGTTTGAGACAGATTAGTATGATTATCTTTTAGGAAATAACATTATGGGATAAAGCACATGGGTAGTTCAGGACATATGTGCATGCAACTGCCAGGAAGACGAACCAGATAAACCTTGGTCTTTTTTCATCTAGCATTTCTTATGTTCTTATAAGGCATTTTGACTTACCATGCTTTTTTTTTCATTTTTGATTTAAACTTTGGGTAAACTAAATGTGTACGTGGAAATTGTTATGAAATACTGCTCTATAAGAGTCTACAGAAAACTAGTCAATGCAATCTGTGAAATTAACTGAGTTCTTATGGAATATACAGGGATATTGTATATTAGTACCAAGATACATTTTGTTTCATTGGTGTTGGGTTTGATGTATTAGTACCTTTGAAGGGAAATTTACCAAATGTTTTCAGTTGCGGGTAGGGGTTTCAATAGATTGGAATTGTGTTTAATATCACAATTATTAAAACCTCTTACTGTTACAGGTCAGAAGGTTATGGGTTATGGTTATGTTCCCCATGTTGGAACTTTGCGTTCACACCCAGGGCTGACAATTGAGTGCAGAACTGGGACAGTGCTGGGTTATTGGAGGTGCTAGGGTGTCAGCCTGGCTCAGTTGGTAACACTTCTACCTTAGTCAGTATTTGTGGATTCAAGGCACACATCAGGGTCTTGAACTCAGCTAAAGATGACACTCCAATGCAGTGCAGAAGATGTGCTGCATTGTTGGAAGTGCTGTCCTTCGATTAGATGCTTGTTTTAGGTGAACGTTAAAGATCCCATGGAACTTTTGTCAAAAAACAAGGTAATTTTTCTAATGTCTGCAAAATAAAATTGTTCACTTACTTGATAACTGTTTGTGTAACATTGCTGCGCACAAACTGACTGCCACAGTCGCCTACAAAATACACACTCACTACGCTCAGCTTTAACTCCTGTGAAGCGCTTTGAGACATCCTCGCAACATGAAAGGCACTGTATCAAATGCAGGAATTATTATTATTACAAAATCAGAGTTCCTACGCTGCAGTGCTCTTTTGACATTCACACTTAACTGCGCAATGGAAAATTACAAACGGTCTGGTGCATTTCTGGCGGAGATTTTCAGGTGTCACAGAAATGGGACTTGGATTAGGATCCATCCCTGACAAAGCTGGATCAAAGTTTCCTCTCTTCGATGTCTGCAAGAGTCGAATATAGCTCTTCGTGGAGAAAGGACGCAAGCAACTGCTTCTGGGGTTTGAAGCTGGGCAGAGAACATTTGGTGATAATGGTACAGAGCTTGAAGGACAACTCCTTGGTCACTTACATTAAAGTTCCATTGTCAAGCATCAAAGTTGGTAAATTTACTGACCCTCAAGACGTGAACTGCCCCCAAGGTGGTAGCAATGAAAAAAAACTTATATCAATTTGTTAGCACAGGAACAAAGGTGCAATGCTCATCTTGTAAAAAAACAATGCTCAATTCTAGTGAATTCAACATTGTAAAACAGCTTTAGCATTAATTAAGACTTAGCTTCTGTTCTCAATGATTTTCAGCATCTGCTGCCTGATAAACATTTTCTAGATTAATGTTACACTGAATAGGATGGAGTTGCTTCAAGGCAAAATTTGACTTGCTATTTTCATTTTTTTTATTGTTGGGTGGGCCTTCTGATGGAGACTCAATAATTTTGTATTAGCTTTGGGTAATTACTGACATTTTGTGCTTCAACATGCCTCTCAAGTGAGATATTCTTTAGATGCAAAATTGCGTTGAAATCTGTGACTCTGCATTAAAAAAAAACTGGGACACCAGGTGCACAGATCATCATGTTTTATATGCTGACCATATGTCCCCAGTTGAGGTATTTTGTCCCTGGCCAAATTAACCAGGTCTTGAGTTCCGCAACAAACTGAGCAAGACCCATAAAGTTCTAAGACAGATACTGTACACTCCTCAGAGAAACACCGTTTTTAATCCAACAAGTTTCTCCTATAAACAAAAACAGAAGTTGCTGGGAACACTCAGCAGGTCAGGCAGCATCTATGGAGAAAGGAAAGTGAGTCAACGTTTCGGGTCCACGACCCCTCGTCAGAATTATAAGCTTGTCCTATAATGCCAGTATCCGGAATTGTGCGCAATTTATTTTACACATGTCCCCGGTTTATGTTTGCAAAATATGGTCAACCGACACCTATACTGCTTTGCCCAACTATAACCTGACTTACATAAAAGTGCGGGAGAATGTGTTTAATTCAAGGGAAACAATGCCATCTACTGACAAGAAATTAAGATACAGTACATGCTAAACATTTGCCACCTGGATATGAAAATTTCTGTGCATCTCGAATGGATTGTGAATTCTGTCCCTGGAAGGATGCACCCTGTTTTGCCTATTCCTGATAGTATAAGGTGAGGTTTGGTAAGGCTCAAGGCTTGGGGAACCCCAGAGTGTGCAGAGTAGGGTACTGCTAGAGTTTAACCATTTGGTATGATATTCAGAGCACTGCCTGGCAAGCTTCCTGCCGCTTGTCCATTGAGATCTGTTAGGGCTTTGGCTCCCAGTCGACTGGTTTGTCTCTCCAACTCCTGCCAATGCGTGGGTTTGTCATATTGAGGAACCACCCCCCAACTCATGAACTGGACGAGCACAGAGGACTGAATTGATTCTGATATTTTATTGCTGTGCGTTTCCAATCACATTGGAACCAGCTGGGCAAATTCACTAAAATGCTTTTAAATGTTGTGCTGCAAATTATCTACAAAGTACTTGTGACTTTTAATGGCAGTGAAAGGTAGTACATATTAGAATGACCAGTGTGCCCTCGTATGATCTGAACCAGCATGGCTTTAGAAAGCAAAGGAAGTTAGAGTTTAGGGCAGTTCAGCCGGGTATCTGACACATGCAGAAACCCATCAAGATGCTTAAGAGCATCCAAACAAGACAGAGTTATAATAATAATAACTTACATTTGGCATAACTTCTTTCACAGGATATACAGTAAAATAGAGCGATTGTGTATTTTTCAGGTGAACCTTGTTGTTCCCCCCCTCCCCAAAACAATTTGACGAGCCTTTCCAGGACACAGTGCCAGGTGAAAACAAGCCACCTTCATTAGCAAAGTTCAAGCGGTTAATTTTCGATCATTCAGAGTCAATTGCATTCGCATAATCTTATCTTGTTTCACAGAGAATTACCTCATATACTGACAGCAGTAAATTGCTATCCAGGAATATGGAAAATAACAATCTAATGACTCAGCAAACTGAGTATGAGGAAACTGCAGGAAAGCCTTTAAGCCAGTGTCGCAGAAAGTGCCTCGTCCGGATATGCTGCCAATGCAAACAACGCTAGTTATTGATGAGACAGTAATGGTGCACTCTATCAATCTGCAAAGTGCACAGATACAAAGCCAGGACATTTTGAGACATTCTCACGACGTGAACAACACTATATCAAACGCGAGGATTTTTTAAAAATTTTAAAAAATCTTCCATCTTTTAGTTTTTATTTCACCAGCCGGTAAAGCTGTTTTCGGCCAGTGATAAAAAACGTTTCCTGCAGCTTCCAAAATAGTGGGAGCTGAGTCAACGAAGCAAAATGGTAAACACAAGTTTCAAGATTAGATATAGATGCAATAAAAAGTGCAATCAGTAGACATAAGAAACAAATTAAAGATGAAATGACATAGGTCTGAGGAAATAGAATCCTGTGTCGGAAGTAAGTGGATTTTTGTATTTTTAGGAGTTCACAATACTATTACAACCAATCAATATTCTAAACTTTAATGAAATTATCATTTCTTTAACTGTGTATTATTAATTGCTTCGAGGCACATAGCGTTAAAGTAATTATTCTTATATCACTTTCATCAGCTAAAGGTTTAGGTTCAAAACTGGGTAATGTTGATTGTGTCGGATTGTGCTCTAATCTTCCTGCCTCCTGAATCTAAAGTCAATACCAGACCTTTTCTCTAGGTGGCATGAAAGATCAGTGCAAAGATGGAATTTAGCATTCTCAGGGAATAGGCCTTCATTTTAATATTTGCCCTTTGGAAAACAAACTCTCTGACACAACTCTCTGATGTTCTTGTAAAATTGTTCTCAAGGGCGAAATGACAGTGTACTGAGAGAAAGAAGTACATCACAAGACAAGTTTCGATGTAGAAAGCCCTTTGGCTCCATTTGTTCTCATTCTTCCAGAATACCTACCTCACTGGCTTCCAATTACAGTATTCAGTTGATTTTTAAACAAGTCCAGCATTCTGGTCTCCGGGCAATAATGGTCACTGACTTGTCTGAGTAAAACTATCCTGTGCAGCTGCTCCGTTAAAAGAGATGAGAACTAAGAGCTGAAACCATACCTTTAGGGTTCAATTTCCAAGTAATAGTAAACTTTTCTTATTTAAGCACACATTGTCGGTGACTTTGATCATTCTAATAATTAATAATCTTTGCATTTGATATAGCGCCTTAACATGTCTTCAAGACGTTCAAAGCTTCACAGAATATACTGTAAAGTGAATTGACTGTATATTTTGTGGATGAAGCACAGCAGCCAATTGCGTACAGCAGTGTCTGATTGCTGTCGTGGATTGAGTGACAAGATGTTTTTGATGAATGAATGAATGAAAAGCGCTACACAAATGTAATTTTGTTCCTGTAGTTGTTGAAGAGCTGAATTTGTATCAATTCAGCCACTTCTGGTTGACATTACCTAGTGCCTTAAAACATTAATGTCAATTGTATTCTTCAGTAAAGTCATTGCCTACATTCTAGGCAATGTGTGTGTTTCCTCACTGTAACAGTAGATGGTGAGAAAGGACTATGAATATCTGACTGAAATTACATTATCAAAGATAGTTGGTGCTTTTAAATTAACAATTATTGGGTGGGAGGTGGGGCAGCGAGGGATGAAGTTGTTTAGAATTGTAGAAAGTCCTACTTAACAGCATACTTTTTTCTGCGAAGAAATATCGACAATATGTGCAAGCGCCTTATCCCAATGGCATCCTGCATTCTTGATTGCAGTGGTTATTAGGCGCAAGTGACAACAGCCAAGGCTTTGGGATTCCCCACAGTGTGCATTCTGGTAACGCTGGAGTTTAATCAACTAAATCCGCATTAACAAAAGTGGGGAAGAATTCTCGGTCTACTCTTCCAAATCTTGTTGATGAGTTAGGCTTTGGAGCCAGTACCAAGGAGGCTGCAGTTACTTCCTCCATTTTTGTTAACGCTCCAAACCAAAATGTGTTAATCTTAGCTTGACAAGCTGTGGGAAGCTTACCAAGTGATGGATTTAGTTGATTAAACTCCAGCATTACCACAATGGGAATCCCAAAGCCTTGGCGCTTGTCACTTGCCTTTAATAACCACAAAGACAATACACATTAATTGGCAATTTGCTAAACCAAATACACCATGTTATAAGGGTGTGCCCTGCTTAAGTTGCAATAACTGTCCTGTCTTGCTGAAGCTGTGAATTTGCATGAGGACAGGTCATTACAACTGAGCAGTGCACATGATGACTGTCGCAAAACCTTCAGAGTACTGCAATGAGGTTAAGAAACTTTTTTGGTCTTTTTGGCTAAGATCAAGTGTAATATATGTTCTTATCAGTTACACTTTGGACTGCGTACCTGGTAATCTCTCTTTGAGCTCTGGACATGCCCACTTACCTCCCCCCATTCCAACCATCCCTGATGAGTTATAATATAAAAATAATCCTTGTTTGATATAGAGCCTTATCACATCTTCGAGACGTCTCAAAGCTCTTAAATAGTTCATGGAGGGTAAAGCTACTGCCTAGATTGCTCTGCCTTTTGCCCTCTGTTGGCTTGGATTGGATAGCAGCATTGGAGCCAGGT